TTTTTTCAAGGCTCTTGGAGATATTCCCAGCCATTCTTTGGCAAACCAGATCCAATGCAACACTTTCTTAAAAGCACAAAATCATTAAATAAGGGGTAAAATACTTTTTTGGCTGCATGACATTTCTTGCAAAGGAAAGACAACCTAATCCTATGCATCTCTTTCTAAAGTTTATATAAATAACTGTAGTGAAAGGTGCCCTTGAGCAATGTATGGTTTGCCAAATTGGTGGATCAAGATCAGCAAAGGGTTTCTGACCCTCGGTCACACTCAGTGCAGTGTCCTGATCAGAGGCTGCCAGAGGTTGGTTTCCAGCAGACACAGAATGTGAAGATCTTAATTTTAATATAATAAGTGCATGCTCCTGAATGCTATTTTAAGCCTTCTTTCATACAGTAATGTTTCTTTTTCAATGAACAATTGGTTAAAGAGAAACAGAAATTCCAAAGTCTTCATAAAAGGTGAGACATTTATGGGGTTGTGGCTATTTTCTATACAAGGACCAAGACAAAACACATGAGATTACTTCATTCTCATAATCAGCTAATCATTTATACTCCTTTAGAGATTGTCTTTGGTTCCTCTGGCTGCTGCTTCTTGTGTTTAAAAAAATCCCAATACATGAGTCTCAGAAAGAAAAAAGAAAGAAGTTGGCAGCATAGACTTTGAATTCAGAGTCGGTGGGAAAGGATGAAAGGAGCCAGTTAAAGGGGTCGAAAAGAGCTTTACTTCCTACTCAAAGTCATGCCTAGTGCATCGATGAGGACCATGGGCGTTGTCTTTTATTTGGTGGAAGAAAGGGCTACACATAAACCAGCAGTTCAAGTAAAAGAGGATCTCTGCACCACAAAGGCTAAATTATTTAGGCTGCTCTGTCTATAGGCAAGATGCAAGGTGTCACGGCCAAAAAAGAACAGCATGATGAAAGGGTGGGCAAATATATTTCCTGCTTCATATCAATAGGAAAAGTTATGTATCTTTGAAATCTGTCAAATCTGTAAAGGAATGCCACTGCCATGGTTTTAATGTCTGAATGTAATTTATTTAATCAAAATTGAAAAGACTTTGGTTTTTGTATTAAACACCTCCCACCAATACATTAACTAATTATATGACAAGGTTTGACAACAACTATCATCGTTGCTAGAGGTAAAATCAAATCAAATCCCCTATTTTTCAGCTTTTAACTGAAAGGCATTGCATCGACATTTGCTTTACTAGTCTTTTTCTGTGAGGTCTTGTAACTTTACACAAATAAAGCAGCAGCAGAGAACAGCCATACCATTGGATCAGTTAAAAGATTGATGGCTTATATGAAGTGAGATGTTATTCATACAATTTGGGTTCCTCAACTTTGTTGCCCAGGGCCCACCTGTTGAGGCAAACTTTTAGATCTGTTCACAGAAACCTCAATTTTACAAAAAATGGCAGGTTGTTGGGGAATTTCAAGCTGTGGAACTGTTATGGAAATGTGATTGTTAGGGAAGAAGAGTCATGCTCAGCAATGGAAAATCTGAGCATATTCTGCAGTGGAACTGGGCACTTTTCCTCTAAACAATCCCAAGGGCACTAAGATACAAGGATAAGATTATTGGTTATTGACAGTCAAAGAGACATATTTCTGGAAAGACTTGCACAAACCAGTTTGATTTAATGCGCTCGGTTGAAATAAATTAAATTCATTTCCGTTTATAGTGTCTTATTAAAAACATGTCATCTCAAAAAGCTTGAAAGAGAAAACCCAACCCATGTTACTTATAATGATTTTACTTTTAATCCTGATTAGTCCACTTGACTAGATGAAAACTTTAAAAAGTAACCTTTGCGAGAAAATCCACTGATGGCATCACAACCTTTCTTTGATTCAGTCTTTGATCCTGCAAACCTGAGGTGACAGAGGGAGAGGGGCCATCTGCTCCTCCTGGCTGGGCGTTGGGAAAAAAGGACGGAGAGATCAACAAGTGCCAAAACACTGGGCCAGGGATACCTGCTGAGGAAGAGAAATACATTTTAGGCATGTCCAGCACAGAGAGAGTGAAGAGAGCCGGGTAAAGAAAAATGCTCAGTGCATCATGGGAGGTCCCCTTGGAGTAACTAAGGGATATTTCAGGGTCACATTAGCCATACTTAATGATAAACTTTATAAAAATGAGCTTTTAAGCCTAATCTTACAGGCAGAGAGGGTGTCTGCTTCTTAAACCCATCCCGGCAGCTGGTTCCACACAAGAGAGGTCTAAAAACTGAAGGCGCTCTCCCATTTTACCTTTAGAAAGTCTAGGAAACACAAGTAAACCTGCAATCTGCAAGCAAAGTGCTCTACTGGGAAAATATCAAGCATTAAGATCTTTGAAATAAGATGGAATTTGGTCATTAAAGGCTTTATGTGAAGTGAAAGATTTGAAATTCTACTGTGGATTTAACAGTGAGCCTCTAAAGACAAGCCAAAAGTGGAAAAATAGGATTTGTCCTGCTCGTGCTCATCAGAGCTCCCAGAATTCGGATCAGCAAGAGATTTCTCAAGAAACTTTTGACACAGCCAAAATTGAAAGACAAACAGCAGTCAAATATTCAAGCAATAAATGCACGGACCAAGTTTATTGGGTCACTAAGACAGATGTTCTTAATTTCTGTGATATTATAAAGGTGAAAGAGGGCAGTCAGATAAATCTGTTTCATATGCAAAGGATATCTAAGGGTAGTCCCCATGGTCTTCCTGTGGAAACAGTTTAGACCAATACCTGTCTTTATAAGCCTTCAAGGCCTAATATAATTGTTTTTGTTGACAGGGTTTGACAGAGCTGAATGTACATTTTACTGAAAAGACAAGAAAGATAATCCTGACATTTATGATGGCTGATTTTTTGCCACTAACGTGACAGAGCTGTTGATGATCAGTGCAGGAATATCCTTTAACTCACTCAGCTTTTCCTGGATGTGATATAATAACCAAGATCATCAGAGCCATAAAAATAATTTCTTAAGAGGTGTTCTCTCCAATTGTCTCTTGTGGATTTACACTACAGTTGTTGATGTCCCCCTAAATGTTTGTTCTTGATGAGGAAAACTGAAACACTTCTGCTGAATTCAAAGAACGACCAACATAGTCTGCACCACCACCACCATCCTGGCAACATCATGCAACAATGGTGGATTCACATTCTTTTTCTTGAGATGTAATCAGTGGTTATAAACCCAACTAACTAATCCAACTGGTTTGTCAAATCAACCAACAATCCCGAAACCTAATCACATTTTCCAGCAAAGTACCAACTTGCACAGGAAGCCAAAAAGGCTTCCAGACAGCGGCCTCTCACCAGCTGTTACTCTGATCAAACCTGAAAGGATAGCCACAACGCTTTAGTTTTATCAAAGGATTCAGGTGGAATTGATGCACAGAGCTGGAAATTCAACACTGGGCAAAACTTAGAACATGAAAGAGAAAGAGAACAATTGTGCACTTACACAAACATATATAAAGTGCTTCACACCAGCAGATAGAAATATAAAAATCAAGCAAGACAACTTGTAAATACCACATACGAATTTGATAAATATATGTTGGCATTTGAATAAACCAATAACAATCTATGTCAAATAAATCAAGTACAATAAGCAGAAACAATAAATAAAAAAAACTGTTTTGGGAAAAGATCCCAGACTGCTGGCCTGATGCCCTCTGGCAGCTTCTTTTACTATGGATCGTCAGCCATTCTTTTCGAGAAAACAGAAATGCTCTACCTGGGATGTTAGGTCAAAGAGTAAAATCATAAAGAGAATTTGAAAACATGCTCAAGAGTGAGCGCATGCAGTTAAAACAGGTGTTAACGTCTCTCTTGGCTCTCGTTTCAAGTATGGCTTATTTCATGCTATAAAGAGCTACATTTTGGGTTGAAATTAACAAAGGGGCAGTTGCAAAAGTCAAGGGAGGAAAGTGTGTTAAATGATCTCTACGTATTTGATTCATGGACTTGAGAGAGAAGAGGACAACTACACTGATGCTAGCAGCAAGGGGGGGGGGGGACTTGCCTGATAATTATCATCATCAAAATATCTTACATAAAAAGCTTACTGCAATTTCCTGTCGTGTAATGTGCAATAAGAAGATAAGCATGATCCTGATTAACCAATTGCTGAAGTTTTGTTCAATTCTGACCTTTTAAGAAACCGGCACTTTTCTGCTTAGAATAGCAACAAGCAAGTACTCTTTCTCACTGATGGAAGAGAATATTTTCCAGACTCATACCTGAGGTTGCCATGAGATGAAATTTAGGATTTTCTTTTCAAACCTCAGGGATCCAAGGCCAACTTGATTGTTTCAGATTTCTGCTGGGAGTGGGGTGGGGCTCAGGGCCAGTGGAACTGACCAATCACACCGAGCTCTCCTGGAGTTTTCAGTTTATGGGCCATATTTACATATATTTAGATACTGAAGTAAAACTAAACATTTGATGGTGACTTCTCACTTACTGCGGAAATAAAGAGGTTTCATTCTATCATTTTGATCACCCTTGTAGTTCAAAATTATCTATTTAAGTTTTTTTTTTCTTTTATTAAGTTTGGATTCAAAGTTTTTTTCCCCCCAGGTTAACAACAAAATCAATGTCCACTCCCGCATGCTTGTGCATTGCATTGACACATCTATTCTTGTAGCTACACTTGATCAGAAAACAGTATCGGATAAACTTCTAATAAGCATATATCACACGTTGCTTCACAGTGTGTCTTTTTTCTTTTTTTTTTTTCGCCAGGCTCGGTCCGTTTATCAGCGCTTACAAACTAAAGACACACGCGAGAAAAACTGTTCTCAAAGTCAGGCCAAGTGGACAAATGGAGCTCCGTATCTGTTAATGCAATCGTGATGGTTGAAAATGCGGAAGCTAAAAAACCTGAACTGGTATCTGGCCGACCCCATCTCGGGCCAATCCGCGCTCGTGCTTCACAGCTCCGTGAATGTCGCTGAGAACTGTTGAGGACTTGTGTGGGGGGGGGGGGGGGGGGGGGGGGAGCAGCTTAGTCAGAGACACTAGTGACCGCTAGCTTCATGTCAACTGTGCAGACATCACTGAAGTAGCAGCGAAAAAATCTTGCCGAGGGAAGGAGGAGAGGGAGAGGCAGAGGGAGAGTGAGGGGGCAGTCGGAAGGGATACGGGCCGTCAGTCCCTCGCGATTGAACCGCTTCGTTATTCGTAACGATTTCGATTGAAGCCGTTTTAAGGACTTTCGCAAAAAAAAAAAAACATCAGCTGGAAGGTTAGCTAGCCGCCGCCATCTCCTCTCAGTCGGAGCGTCCGCCGTGTCTTCCACACCATGGGGAATGCTGCCACCGCCAAGAAGGGCAACGAGCTGGAAAGCGGTGAGTCCGGACCGCGCTTTGATCCCGCTCTGTCACATTTAGGCGTTTCGTCATCTCTGCGTAAGATAACTGGCTATTATTTTACAACCCCCTGAAATTGTCTCACAACTGGTAGCTACTGTAAAGCAGGCGAGGGGCCGTCAGTTATTTATCGCTCGCGTTGATATATCGCCCCTGTAAGACTCCCAGTCCTCCTTAAGTTGTATTTAAGAGCCAGGAAGACATGTTTGTGTGCACATATGATCATTAAAAGCCGTCAATAAATCAGCTCGTAGAAGAAGAGGCGAGACTTGTGGCTGTCTTAGCATCCATGGGATGGAGAAGCGGGCCGTTTACAGTGTAAACAAGCGACGAAACGCTATCAGAGAGCTGGCACAGCAGGGTTTCTTGACGAATTCCTAATTCAGACTTTTAAAAAGAATTGTTTCCGTGACATTTGCTCGCCCACCAGAGCCCAAAGAATTGTGTAGCCTGGAGACCAGCTAGCCCGCTAACTTTAGCTTAGGTGGTAGGAGGGGGATTAGCCCACAGAAGGCCCCTCATTCCGTCCTTCTGGACGTAGCTGTGCAGGCCTTCACAGTTAGCCGTCGTTTCCTGCCAAAGTCCCCGTGTATATACACTGTAAGTCTCGAATCCAAAGCGTCACCTCAGCACTTCCTTGCATGGTGTCATCTTGAACTCGTACCACTGAGTATGTGTCTCTTACTCAACGTTTGGCTGCAGGCTCCTCTCAGAACAGCCAGCTGTCAGGCTGAAACTTTGCTCTGATGATCTCAAATCTGCAGCAGTCGACCACAGAGCCGTGAATGATTGGTATAAATAGGCATTCAAGTTTATTTGAAGGCAGTGTGGGGCTGTTTCAGCCCCAGGCCTCACTGCCACATTTTATTCTTAGCTACATAAACAAAGCTTTCCCCCTGTACAGCACCATGACCAAATATGGTGAAGAAATGATCAATCCTCTCTTTCCATTCATAAAACTCGGACCTACTACTGTCTTTCCAAAATAGGCACACACCTCTGAATTATGCCTGCTGTGTTTCTTTAGAGCCCTTTCTCTAATCTTGCTGTGGTAGAGGTCCATTAGTGCTCACTTCTCACACTCAGCTTGTCATTGACTGGAGCAGCTTGTCATCGGACCTTCGTCAGAGGATAAGGGGTATTACAAGCTTTGAAAGGTTTGACGTAACTCGGCCTAGGCCAGTGTTACTTTACTCTCATATAGTTTGATGTGTTCAGCAGATCATCAGCGAACACCCCGTGTTGTAAATCAGAACTGTTTCCCTATGCCCAGTTGTAAACTCAAAAGTTGTAGAGGTTTTATTGTGTCTCCTGCTATGAAAGTAAACTTTCTTTTTCTTTTTTTCTTTTTCAAATGATCAGCTTTTATCTTAAATTTCCAAGCACTTAAAAACACAGAGAGCAAACTATGTTGAGTTTTCCACAGGGTCTGTTTTACTGTAACATCCATTTATTATGGTGTGAGCAAGTTCCCTTTGAGATTTATTGACCCACGGAGAGACGCCGGGCAGGTGCAGTGAACGTTGCCAACCAGCAGCTCTCAAGCAGGACAGAGATGATCAGATCAGCAATTGTATCTGTACTACAAAGCAGTTCTTTAGAATACAACTATGATCCTTATATCCCAGGCAGAGGCTAACTGTTAAACCCATTTAAGCTGACACTGTTCCCTGAGCTGCAGATTTGTCTGGAGTGTGCTGCTCTTGACAAGGCGACCTGGTTACCTACTGTGTTGTGTGTTTCTTGTGTTTACTGTATATAGATGTAAATGGCTGGAACGGTTGGACGAGTACCAGCGCAGGCATTCTTTGACTGGGGGATTAAACACTTGCCATCCTTCCAGCTATTTTATTTCACTGTACCCATGTTCTCTGTTCACACTGTAGTGTTGCAGGAGAGGTCGACATAACTCGGCCCTGTTATGCTTGGCTGAATTTTGGCATTGATCTTAGAAGGGGTTGGCCACCCCTGCAGACTTTAAATTGGTTCATTATTTCCCTTCCAACGACAAAAATGTTGCAGACAAGTTTTAATTTCTTTTAAACTGCTAAAGATTTCTCAGCTTCAGAGCAGTATGTTTAGTTAGGGAGACAATTCAAATGTCTCTGATGTCATCTTTACCTTTTGGAAATTCTGATTTTTAAATATATATATTTTTTCAGAAACTGTCACTAAAACAATTGTCAAGTCAAACTAATAATGATAACTCTGAGCAGCTTTTGGATAACAATTAAAAGCAGCCAGCTCTCTTCATGGAGAATATGGAACTACAGAAATATTTGGTATTTTTAGACAGAACGCGCTTATCGGAGTATCTGCTGATTCTTTTTTTTCCCGCTTTTTTTCTCTACTTGTTTTGTGTCAGCACTTTTTTTTTATGTGTTCATCATAATTTCAAGGTTATTACAGGGAGAGAAGTTCGAATAAGTTTGACAATAGAAGTCTGAAGTCAAATCCCTTTGAATCAACTCAGTGAAGTTTTTAAAGTGTTCCTTTTGTTTTGCTTTGGACTGTTATCTTTTCCATCCGTACTAATGTGCATGACTGAATTTCTGCGCCCTGGCATTTTGGTACACCTGTTCTTCGACTGCCACAGTAGACAGTTAGTCTAGGCTTAAATTCCTCAGGTGATTGTCAGCCATGTTCTCATGTCTTTTGCTTTAATTCATAACATATGTCTCTTGTTTTTGTTTTGCTGTGATATACTTGTCATGTACATGAACTCTATATTTCTCTGTCTCCTTTTTCTGTATCATTCCATCCGTGTGGGTGATTGTTCCTGCAAAACCTTGGTGATCAATAGAGACGTTTGGTACGCTAAAATTCCACAAAAAAAGAGAAAAAAACGATGAGCAGAATGGCAAAACGGCGTTGGTTTGATTTTGAAAACCTGCTTGATGTGCTTGCTTGCGTGCTTTGATAATAAGTCAGTGTCTTGTGCTTGTCTATTTTTCTGTCGTCTGCATTCTCTCAATCTGGATACCTGCAATCTGCTGTGTTTCCTTTACATTGGTTTGTCTTTGTTCACCATATCTAAGCTGTGTTTATTAGCCTTTCCACAATTTGTGTTACTGTAAGTGATGCACAAGAGGCTCAGAAAAGTGTTTCTAATAGCTCCAGTGTGGTGTGTTTTCCCCTTACACTGTTGTATTTTGCTCTTAAATAACACAGAGCTGAGTTTCTTGGCACGCATCACTTGTCTGCCTGTTATGAATGTTGATTGTGTTGTGTTTTTCCCTGTCGTTGTAAACTGTGCGCTGTTTTTCTGAAGCCATTTGTTTCATATCCAGATGAGAGTTGATCCTGCCCTTGTTCCTTCTCCTTTGCCTCACAATTTAATTTATATTCCAAAACCTTCTCCCCTTTCTCTTGCCATATAATATCAAATTAGTCTTTTTGTCAATTCACTTAATTCCCCTTTTGTTTGTGCGTGGTTCCCCCCCCAAAAAACAGTGTACCAACTGTATTTGTCTTTTTTGTGTTTTAGTAAAAGAGTTTCTAGCCAAAGCCAAAGAAGATTTCTTACGGAAATGGGAATGCCCACCACAGGTCAGAGTGATGAAAAGTTCAACGCAACATTTAGAATCTCTGTGCAGAGAGTCCTCTAACGTGAGTTGTTTCCACAGAGCACGACGAGCCTAGATGACTTTGACAGATTAAAGACTCTGGGTACCGGCTCATTTGGGAGAGTCATGCTGGTGAAACACAAAGGGTCAGAGCAATATTTTGCTATGAAGATCCTGGACAAGCAGAAGGTCAGTGGCAGATATGTCAGGTCTCTGAGGGAATTTTCAAACAAATAGTAAAGCTGACATGACCATTGAATGTGCAGAGCCTATGAAAGTTTATTGCTGCTCAGCATAACTGTCAAAATGACTGTTTATCTCCTTGAGAATTACTTTTAAAACTAGTTGTGCTGTATTACAGAATGACAAGAGTTACATGTGAAATGGATATGAACGTAAATCAGCTTCATATTTTAAAGGACCCTAACTGTTGCAAATCTAAGTGACATTTTCCTGATAAAGCTGTCTTATCTCCTCATTTTTCAGGTGGTGAAACTCAAGCAAATAGAACACACGCTAAATGAAAAGAGGATATTACAAGCAGTGAGCTTCCCCTTTCTTGTCAAGCTTGAGTACGCATTTAAGGTACGGTGTGGTTATTTGATGAACATCACCCCCCCCCCATTGCTCTCCTGCAAAATGCGAGTTTTTCTTTTGTTGTTTGCTTTGTAGGATAACTCCAATTTGTACATGGTAATGGAGTACGTCCCAGGAGGAGAGATGTTCTCACACTTGAGACGAATCGGAAGGTTCAGGTGAGCATTATTTGGTACGGACTGGATGCAAAACACAGAGTGTGCCACTCTTCTTTACACTGAACCCATCTTGTTCCTCATGGACAGTGAACCACACGCACGATTTTATGCGGCCCAGATAGTGCTGACATTTGAATACCTACATTCGCTAGATCTCATTTATAGAGATCTGAAACCCGAGAACCTTCTCATTGACCACCACGGCTACATTCAGGTGAGCTCCAACGCATCTGATTGATTTAAAATGCCCATGCAGCCTCACTTGACCACAAGCAGAGCTCAGTGTGCACTTTTTACTCACAGGTGACAGACTTTGGATTTGCCAAACGCGTAAAAGGCAGAACCTGGACATTGTGTGGGACACCGGAGTATCTGGCACCCGAAATCATTCTCAGCAAAGTATGGATCATTTTTCTCCTTTCGCTTTATTAGTAAATGAAAAGTGAAGTCGTGGTTTTGAACTAAAAGGCTATAACGTCAGTAGTTCCACATGCAAAAGTTGTTCCAATTTTTTCAATCTTGGTCTAACTTTTGCATTGTGCTTAACATTGCTGGGAGATGATAAGATTGTGTCTTATCCTGTTGATGTTGAAAAATGACCTGTCAGGTGTTTTATTCTTTACCTGATCCCATTGCCAAACCACTCTGAAACAGAAACAAGTGTAACTTTTTCCACTGTCAGTCCCCTCTGTAAATCACAGACATGTGGCTCTATGGGTGCTGGAAAGCAAACATTTGCTCTCACTGTCTTCCACTCGTCACAGATGCTGCATTTATGCTACATTACTCTTCAGGGGGAAGTAAAAACCTAATTTAGAAACATTTGGAATTTTAGCTGCTGAAGTGGCATTGACAAGAAGCATAGTTTATTTTCCGTTGTTTTATTTAAAGCTCATAGCATGCGCTTTAAGTATTTTTTTTTTTTCCAAGACCGTAACATATTAAATTGTTTTTAAACTGAAATAAACTATATTGCACTCCCACAGCTGGCCACTTACAAGTGGAGTTGTGGGATACAAAATGGAGCAAGTTGACGTAGAAAACTGTCTCTTACCTATGAATTATTAATCGTCAAAACAGTTTGGAGCCAGAATCTATCTATGGAGCCCTTTCCATCCAGTGCTGGTGGTTTCACTGTACCACGTATTCCTTTTCCTCCACGGCCCTTAAAGCATTCAGTGGACCGCAGATCCTCCAAACGGGGCTTCACACTAAACTATCCTCAGCTCTCACTGTGCCCTCCTACACGCTGAAGTCTTCTATTTGGTGTCATGAAAAAAATCTTGCAGTGCTGGTTGCTATGGGAGCAAAAGTAACTCAGGGAATTTTTCAATCCCAGCAGACTGAGCTATGGTTCATATTTTTGTTCCATTATACACTTTTGATCCAGTTAAGTGTGGCTCCATCGTTATACACACGCACCACAGAACTTCAGCGGAGACCTGCGATACCTTTCACCCTGTTGTCATCACTCACATGGGTCATTACACTCTTCTGCGTGTTAGTTTGGAAAATTGCCGTTGTTGAAAGAAAGAAAAGTAATCAATTACAATTTTTTTCCTGTTTGTCTTTTACACCATCAGTTCACTTATCATGGCTTTTATTAAGAAAAGGGTTCGGTTTGGTGCTTTAGCAAACATGTAATTCACTTTTAAAACTTTTAGACATGAGAGCCTTTTTTTTGGTGTTTATTTTAGGGCTATAACAAAGCTGTGGACTGGTGGGCCCTCGGAGTCCTCATCTACGAAATGGCAGCTGGCTATCCTCCTTTTTTTGCAGATCAACCGATTCAGATCTATGAAAAGATTGTGTCTGGAAAGGTGAGAATAGCTCCCTTTTAGATTTGAACGATTAAATGTCTTTTTCTACTGCTTATTACATATACATGTGCAACCCTCGATTTGGAATGTGAACATGAAAAATTAAAAGAACACCCCAAAACCTTTCCAGGTACGATTCCCATCCCACTTCAGCTCTGACCTGAAGGACTTGTTGAGAAACCTGCTGCAGGTGGATCTGACTAAACGTTTTGGCAACCTGAAGAATGGCGTCAACGACATCAAGGGCCACAAATGGTTCGCCACCACAGACTGGATTGCGATCTATGAGCGAAAGGCAAGACAAACCCTTTTCTATTGGCTCTAGACTGTATGTCTGAAGACAGTGCTGTTATTTGCATTACCACTTCTTCATATTGAATTTAATTAGATTGAAACATTCCCAACTATCATATCATACCTAAGAAGTTTGAATGTTTACTCATAGATGGGCACTGTAGTGTATTATTCACAAGTGGGAAAATGTGTTTCTTTGGAAATATGCTTTATTTTTATTTTTTTAATCGGTCTTTTTTTATTTTACTTTTTGGGAGTTTTTTCAGTAAATTAGAGATTAATGACAGAGAAATAAAGATAAAACCAGCCAATCTACAGGACCACCATTCGAGTGGCTCGATTTTCAGACGAACACATTTCTTCTGCGTCTTTCTCCTCTGACAGCCCATCACACTGTTTGGTAAATACAGAGCTGGTGGAAGACTGATGATTCCAAAGAACCGACACTCTGAGGATTTTTTGTTTGTTTTTTCCGATGAAATGTGCGCTTTATTTACCCGGTGTGTTCGTTCATTTGAAATATTTTTGATCTGCCAGCTTTTCAAGAAGTGAAAAACTCAAACGATTTTTCGTCAGTAGAGCCTCGGTATGTGGCTGAAAAAAAACATTTAACTATTTCAGAAGGATATATTGCAGTGGGGGAATACATTTTTGTTTTGGGGAGGGGGTGCTATATTTATAACCCACAGCCCGACGTGAACTAGGTACTACAGAATGTCAGGTGGCAGCGGGTGGAAAAAATGTCTCAACTGATCCGGAGGGCAAAAGGCCCGAAGCGGGGTGGAGGGGCAGCCCACACTCCTGGACTGATTTGGCAACAGCAAGGAACGCACTGCTGTTAGCAAGAGAAGTGGTGGAACTAGAGGCACAGAGAACACAGTGTATAAGAACTATGCTGGCTTCATAGAACACAGTTCAGTAACTGGGCTCAGGGGGCTTGGAGTAGGTCTCTCTCTTTTCTGTGCCTGTACACGGCCACATGCGAGTACCTTTCCAACTCCCCCGGCACATTTCGTGTCCTGTAAAATCCATGTCTGTGTTTGTCCTCCAGGTTGAAGCTCCGTTCATACCAAAGTGCAGAGGCCCCGGGGACACCAGCAACTTTGACGACTACGAGGAGGAGGAAATCCGCGTCTCTTTAACGGAAAAATGTGCGAAGGAGTTTGCTGAGTTCTAGGACGCAAGAACATGGATCTATCAGGGAGAATAAGGGGTTCTTTGCACTCTTTTAAAAGACTTGGGATGGAGCAGAGACCATCTTTTTCAGATCCACTACATAGTCCCTTCATTCCACAAGGCTGAAGGAGGTCGCCGTGGTCCTTGGGTGCCGATAACCTCTCACACTGTTGCATACACCTGCGTATTAAAGCAGACACATCACTTTTTCTTCTTTTTTCAACATTTTTCCTTTCTTTCTCTCTTTTTTTTTTTCATTTTCACTGGAGACAGTTTTTAGTCTTGGGTGTTTTTGTCCCAAATTAAAATGTGATCTTTTTTTGATTTGTGAGCAGAAACTGAGAGTGGCCAATAACAATCCACGCACAATGACGGACTTGTCTGTGGCTAACGCATTTGAGTCGGTTGTACGTTTTCCCTCTCGTCAACAGCCGTGTCCACATCACATATAGTTCCAAACAGCGACCAGAGGTTTAGATTTAGTCTCATGTGCATATCTGTCGGTTTAAGATATTTGAACACCATGAGTGTTTAAAGCATGACCAAATAGAAAACTTTGGGTGACTCGAGAAGAAAGGTCCTTTCCTTTCTTTGCTTTTTGCCTTAGACAGACAAATCCTTTGAACCCTTCCCCAACAATAACATCTGTCGACTGTCTTTTTGGTACTCTGACCCAGGCACAGAAAGCCATTGCAGAAAATGACAAATCTTGCATTAGTACAATGCATGTCCACTTGTTTCTTTGATCCATTTGGGTCTGTTAGTTACATGTAAAATTTGTCATTTGCTATCTTACTGTTTTAGGTTTTTTTTGTTTTGTTTTGTTGTTGTTATCATCATGTTTTAACATTTTAATCATTTTGTCCCTAGATTTCAGGTCCGCTTTGGAACCTTTGTTAGAAGTCTGTGGAACAATGTGACTTAAGTAAAATTGAAAAGAGTGAGTTGAAATTTTCAGATTTTTTTTATAGCGTGTTTTGTAAAATTGAAAAAGGTCAGTGTGAAGAGTGTTTAACATTAAACCTTAAAAGGAATCAGAATTTATCATGTATTAAATGAAAGATGTTTTAAAATCTTAAAGAGATGGGACAGCAAAACAACTTATCTAACACATTCTTTTTGTTATCATCCCCTGACAATTTTTTTTTTTTTGTTTCATTCTTGTCAAAGAATGTAGATTTGCGACTTCTAGGTATGCATATTTGAAAGCTTGATTTCAAAGTACATTTTTCCTCACAATACACTGGCTAAACTAAAGACTGCTCCTTTGTATCACATGTAATCCTGTTATTGTTAAGCTCATGACATTATACGTATATGCATTGTTTCATATATGTTTTTATTTATACACATTAGAGATGCTAATAAATTTTATTTTTAAAAGTGTGCAAGTTTGATCGCTGACTTCCGTCGTCTCTTTTGCCATCCTGCCTCCCGTACACTTTTATCTCTTGTTTTATCTCTGGGGAACGGATGATCCAAATGTGAATCCTTCGTTGGTTGCCAGGGGTCTCAAGAGAATGCAGCTTTTCATTTTAGCGTGTGGAAGTCAGCCAGATGGAACCAAGTAGTTTGGCAACGCTACAGAAACATTTCTCCGCATACCGTGTTATTCACAAATTGATACTTTAATATAGGAGCTTTTCAGAAATGTTGCCACAAAAAGGTGTATTATGTGTACACTTATCAGACAAAACGTTAAAAACATCTTCGTTATATAAAGGATTCTCTCCTCAGTCAAGGCGAGGTGAAAGAACATCAGAAGATGTCTCATATGAGGACTTAAAGCAAAGGATCCTTTGAGCCCTGTTGCAGGAAAGTTGTCATGTATCCAATCAGATTGATATCTTAAAAGTTTGGAGGTCAAGGGAACATCTCAAGCCCTCTCAAATGCTTGTTAGCCCTTTTTTAGTAGTTCTTGCGGTGCTCGGCGGTGTCCCATAGTAAGCTGCTCCTTAGGGGGGTGATGCTGGTACTATATGACTGCAGGGGATTACTGCTCTGCAGAAATGATGATATAGGTGAGATTTATGTCAGTCCCAAGACGCAGGTTTCTGCAGCAGCATATCACGTTGTATAAAGATGAGAAGTGTTGCAGTTTACCTCTGAGTGGTCATAATTTGATGGATGGTCCGTGTAGAATTGGTCCAAATATGGAACGGAACATATATCAAGGCATGGAAGTGGTGTACATCAACATATGATAATACACTGAACATTATTGTGTGCATTTACATACATGAAATGTAAATAGTGTACTTTACGTTTGCAAGGTACTTTCAAGAGTGAGAGATGATAATGTTGCAGAAAAAAACTAACTGCAAACGGTAGTGCCTCTGTTTCTTGGAGTCACTGTGGAATGTTTTATGATCTTTGTAATTAGCTGAAAAGGTGACTATTTGCAGCAAGCCCCACAGAGCTGGAATATACTGCCTCTTCCCATTCTGACAGAGACAACAAAGGATTAGTAGTATAGCTGTTTATCAGAGCAGCTATAGGAACAGATCCAACGCATCAAATCTTTGCCTTGAGTATTTGATCAGTTTATTTAGTATTTTTTCCCGAATGACATTAACTTGCTGAAAAGCGTAAATGAAACATTTTTGGTTCTCTGGACTTCCCGTCATTGTTGTGAGTGGCTGATGGGTAATGTAGTGCGGCAGCAGGCACGTGGGATCTTGCGTCGCTGGGCAAGACTGGCAGAAACATGGCGGGTCTGGAACTGTTGTCGGACCAAGGATACCGTTTAGATGGAAGAAAGGCCACCGAGCTGCGGAAATTCCAGGCCCGCATGGGTCCGTTCGCTCAGGCCGACGGTTCAGCTTATTTAGAGCAGGGAAACACGAAAGCTCTGGCCGTGGTGTACGGTCCGCATGAGGTGAGTGGTTGAATGATAGGGCCTGATAGAGTCTTGTATCCAAAGCAAGTGTCTCGTGTGTTCCAGCCACCCAGTTAAACCTATTATAAATACGACTTATATGCCGGAGTCCAGTAGCTCTATTGTTATCGGTTTAACAAGTATTTAACCGGAACTATGTGGTGTCCCTTTAAAAAAAGACCCCGTTCATGTTAGAATTATTCCAAGTTTCCCGCCCTTCATAACTACATGTTGTTTTTCACTTGATTTTCATATTTGCTCGATGGTACTGTGACACAGTGTGGATCATTGTCAGTTTCGCATTGATTGTTCTGTGTGACGGAATTTCTGTCCAGTTATGGGAGCACTCTGAGGAGTTTCACAGTACTGATCAAACGTTCCTCTCTGTCCCCACTAGATGCGAGGTTCAAGGAGTCGGGCCCTTCACGACCGGGCTGTCATCAACTGCCAGTACAGCATGGCAACATTCAGCACAGCAGAGAGGAAGAGGAGGCCGCACGGGGACCGGAAATCCACTGAGATGAGCCTCCATCTCAAGCAAACGTTCGAGGCTGCCGTGATGACCCAGCTCTATCCGCGCTCTCAGATAGACATCTACGTCAAGGTGAGTCTCAGACCGAGCGTTCCCATGTCCCACTGTCGTTGAACGTTTTGCTAAACATTCTTTGGTTGCGTTCCAGATCCTGCAGTCCGACGGGGGGAATTACAGCGTGTGTGTGAATGCAGCCACGCTGGCAGTGATTGATGCCGGCATCCCGATGCGGGACTACGTGTGCGCTTGCACGGTGGGTTTTGTGGACGAGACTCCACTCGCTGATCTCTGCTACGCCGAGGAGAGCGGAGGGGTCAGCTCCCTGGCTTTAGCGTTGCTGCCCCGGGGAGGACAGATCGCTCTTCTCCAGATGGACGCCAGACTGCATCAGGATCACCTGGAAACTCTGATGGAAGCTGCAATGACTGCCTGCAAAGGTGTGAGCAAAGTGCTGGACGAGGTAGTGAGGCAACACCTTCGAGAGGCCTCAATGCTCACCCGAGAGTGACGTGTAATGTCACGTAAGAAGAAAACGTCTGGACTGGGATTCAGAAAGAAGCTTTTGTATTTTTGTATTCATTCATCTACATTCTGTACACTTGTATATACCTGACCCCAGAAATAAATGTATGAAGGGTCAATTTATGTGTGCTTCTTCATTTGTGTTTGATGAGTCGAAATGTTTTTTGGGACATGTTGTTTTACAATGTTTGGCAAGCGGAACTGGCCACAGAAAGGAAAGAAACCAGGGTTCTGTGGTCCAAAAACAAGTGTTTTGTTGATCAAGCTGATGTTTTGCTTGTCCTCATTGACAGCCTTACTGTGCCAAACCACACAAACAGATAACCTTATTTTCAAAGCAGGCTTTTTCAGTAATCTTAGGTAATCAGGACAGTTTGAGGAGAATCTTAACTGTAACATCAGTACAGCAAGACATGTCGGTGTGGAAGGAAGACAATATGTGTATTATGGGTGGATTATTAAACAAGTCTACTGCCATCCCCAATATATATATTCGGGATGGAAATAGTTTTTATTGTGTGAGCATGTGTGCATCAAACCTTTAAATAAGATAAGATTAAAACAAACGTGCATCAAACCAAATTCTATCAAATTACAGTTTATGCTTACTGAGTTTACACAAACTATAATTTTGACCATAAAAACATTTTATTATAGCTTGGGAGTTGTCTCACTGTTTTGTGTATTTTTTATTTCCTTCTATCTGTTGGTTGGTTGTTTGAGCGGAAGTCAGTCCGCCGTAATAGGGTTCCGCCAGGAACAAGGAAATTGCAAAAAAGCAGCTGCTGCAGTGATAAAACCCAACCACTGCAAGTGAATGAAACCACGGGACGAAGGTATGTTGTTATACGCTCGTTATAATATTTTTTACATGTTATTATATATATTTGACCGTCGTGAAACGGGACAGTGTTTTCTATATCTATCAAGTCTCGTGGGAAATGTCTCAATTAGCTAGCAGCAAGCTAGCACAGCTGTCAGTCGATGCTGCTGTGTGACGAGAGGTGGCATAAACCAGCTTTTGCTGAATGGATGTATGTATGGCTGGATATCGAAGAGTTTGATGATGAACCTGATTATATGAAGCTGTTCTGTTTATTTTAATGACAATATTTAATTGGTATCCATGCTCTGAGTACATTTTATATTTACAATGTCGCCTTCAGGGTCCTCTTTATCCGGGCTTCTGCGTTACAGAGGACAACAAGATGGGTCTGTTGTCTGACCCCAACAGAAGACGGGCTTTGATCAGCCTGCTGACCCGCCTCAATGCTCCTATCTGGTTAGTACAAGTCACTAGAGAACAGTTTTTAAAATATACTTCAACCACACTCAATTTGATGAACAATCATTTCTCTTTATCTCTCCACGTTAGTGCGGTTTGCTACTTTGCGGGTGTGGCGTGGTTTATGGGGCTGGCATTTGAGCCGTTCACTTTACGGACCTACATGTCAGAGAATGCCATGGGATCCACCATGGTGGAGGAGCGCTTCCCTTCAGGGGAGAGAGCTCTTGCCACAGGCAGAGAGTTTGCAGCTCATAAAAAGAGAGTCGGGTGAGAGGAATTGTTGTTTTTACTATAAATTTAAGATGGAATTCTGCCGTGCGTTTCTTCTCTTGGAATAAACGTGTGTTTTTCTCTGCAGTGGGATGCCAGTGGACTGGCTGGTAAAAACTATGCAGGCTCGGGGGCTGGAGGTGTTTACCCAGAGCTTCTCTCGCACACTACCCTTCCCTGATGAAAACAAAGAGAGATTTGTAAGCCCGAAAACATATTGAGTTTGTTCCATTTTCCCACTTTTCTCAAAATCCTGCTCTCAGCTGGTGACAGACTGTTCTTCAGCAAATGTACCTGCCCCCTATTCCTTGCAGATGGTAAAAGGCACAAATGTGTACGGCATCCTTCGGGCCCCCAGAGCTCCAAGGACAGAAGCTCTGGTACTCAGTGCTCCCTGCAGCCCGGGTGATAACAACAACCAAGCTGTGGGACTGCTGCTCGGTTTGGCTCATTACTTCCGGAGTAAGATTTGCACATGTAACAAAGCATATATTTTACAACATAAGAGCGTTGTTGCATTTTCTTGGTGATATTAATTCTGTCTTTTATAGATCAGATATTCTGGGCAAAGGACATCATATTTCTCGTAAATGAGCATGATTTGATTGGTATGCAGGCCTGGCTGGAGGGTTACCACCACACTAATACTACAGGTGATCACCTGCATTCATCCAGTCAATATAAACACCACCAAATGTCCCTGAAGTATATATATAAGTCACAAACATGGAGTCGGCCTGTTATTTTTCTTATGTAATGGTTCATTTAGGTATGGACTGGTCCCCATTACAAGGTCGAGGAGGTTCAATTCAGGCAGCCTTGTCCTTGGAGCTCAGCAGTGACGTCATCACCAGTTTGGATATAGTGCTGGAAGGCCTCAATGGCCAGTTACCCAACCTGGATTTAGCAAATCTCTTTTATGCCTTCTGTCAGAAGATAGGAGTCCTTTGTACCATCCAGGGAAAGGTAAAAACTTTTAGAGCTGTACACTGTACCTTTTTTTTTTAGCAGAGCAGGGCGATTACCTGCCATTTGACTATTTGTCTGCTAATGTTTCTGTAGCTGCAGAGAAGTGACTGGGACAGCGTGTCAGGCTACAGCCAAGCAGTTCAAACCATGATGCTGATGGTACTAAAGCAGGCCAGTGGGCGCCCCTGGGGAGACCACGGCCTGTTTCTGCGCTATCACATTGAAGCTGCCACCATCACGGGCATCAACAGCTTCCGCCAGTACAAGACTGACACCACCACCATTGGCAGGTTAGAGCACGGCTGTAAAGAATTGGGTTTGTTTGTTTTTTCATGCCCTGTGATGGACTGGCGATCTGTCCAGGGGTGTGCCTGCCTCTCACCCAATAACACCTGGGACAATACTAGGAATAAGTATGCAAGAATTGGATGGATCATTTAAAAAAATTCTTAATTTTTCTTTTAGGCTGCTGGAGGGAATGTATCGTAAACTAAACAACCTCCTGGAGCGCCTGCACCAGTCCTATTTCTTTTACCTCATGCCGTCCCTCTCTCATTTCGTCTCCATTGGATACTACATGCCGGCCTTTGGCCTCCTTGCCGTCATCTTGCTGCTTCGTGTATCCTCACCTTTTACATTTTTAATTCATTTTAATATGATCTAAAATGAAGAGCAGCAAAGTCTAACCACTGTTTGACATGGTAAATGTTACACTTCCCCCCCTTAACCACAACTCAGGCCTTAGACCTGTGGGTTCAACTTTCCGCCCCACCACCGAGGACTGAGGACGGAATTGTTGATGTTGAGCAGGTAAGACAGCTGCAAGAACTTAAACTTAAATTAAGCCATTTTCTTATTTTTTCAGTCTGTTTTATCAGCTCTCCAAAAATCATCTCTGCCCTAACAGTCCAGTCCGGGGCTGCTGTCGGTGTTGACTCCTCTGGTGATCAGCCACCTGACCGGAGCAGCTCTCTACATGCTGCCAATCCGTTTTCAAGACATGGCCGTTGAGCACTTCCCGGTGTCTGAGACTGAAGCTGTCGTCCTAACCGCCATTGCTGTTTACACCGCGGGGCTAGCGTTGCCTCATAACACACACAGGTAGTTACACACATAAAATGCTTTGATCACACTTCCATTTCAGACATTGCAATGTGGCGTTACATTTATCTCAGAAAGTTTGGTCAGAATTAAAAGCACTATTTAGTTTGTGGTCTGAACTCTCTTATCAGATCAGATTTATCCATGTCCCTCTCATTTTGGCAGCTCACAGTAGATTTGTGTGCCTTGTCTCACCTGCAATGTAACGAGGCATCACACACATGCAGAGCTGCAGCTGTCTTTGTGTGATCATTATCTCTGCTGGCATAGAGCGGATGCTGACTTTATGCTCCACATCTCCACCAACTATTTATTATAGGCTCGATAGGCTTCATATATGCAGCAATCCATGCATGTTGTTTGGCTTTTCAAATCATCTCTGGTTGTATCCAGATAGCAGGATGTTTTTTTGTTTTTTTTTTAACTCACAATCTCATTTGAGTAATTAATCCACCTTGCCTCTTTTCTCCACATAGACTGTGACTGTGAGGTCATTCTGATATTCTGAAAGGATTTTCCTCTATTTTGATTAATCAATAACGAGCATGTATTAACATCGTTTTCCCAAAAACTTTACTGAAACTCTGTACAATTGAATGCTAAAGAGCTCTTATTCAGCATGTATTAGCTATTGAACTCAGCTTCATGGATATATAAGTTGATTTTCTTCTCCTGTGGGCTCCTGTATATATTCCTACTTGGAGGTTTTGTAGCGAGCCTTTCAAAGTGATCATCCTGTCACTGGCTAAACACCGGCTCAAACACTGCAGCGCATCGGTGAGGAAGTGTTCTGCAATGTTCTGTGTTTGGTTCCACGTTGTGCAGACTGCTGTCGGGCGAGGGGACGGAGCAGGGCTGGAGGGTCCTGAAGCTGGTGGCCGTGCTCTACCTGGCCGTGCTGCTGGGCTGCACTGCGCTCATCAACTTCTCCCTGGGTTTCATTCTGGCTCTCAGCCTGGTGCCTGTGGCTGCCTTTGTTACTCCACACGTACCCAAGTAATGCTTTTGCACACACACACACTCTGGCTGTTGTTGCTCAGTCGACATAATCCTGTTTTACTGAGGTAAAACTCCACTTTCCTCTTCTTTTTCCTCCAAGGGTTCTGTCCGCTTTCGTCTTGGTCATCCTCAGCCCTGCCTGCACGCTACTCTTCTCAGTATTTTTCTTCCAAGAGCTGCAGGAAATGCCCGTCAGCTTCCAGGATGGTTGGTTGCTGTACCTGTCGGTCATCTCTCAGGGCATTCTGGACCACAGCCTGTATGGATCTTTGGTGTACCCACTCATTGCCTTGCTCATCTATCCATGCTGGCTCCTCTTCTGGAACATCCTGTTCTGGAAGTAGACAGGAATCCACCGGGGGCTTTCAAACACGCCAGTGCTGTCTGAGGTGACCTCAGGAGCAATGTGAGGAGCCAACAGTTGTTTCCACAGGAGTTAGGAAAAGAAGAATGGCCTTTGAGGGATTGAAAGGACCCCCCTTTTGGACATTTTTTCAGTAATAATATATTCACTCCAAGTCATCGGTTCTTTAGGCACTGAAGTTTTGGAATTGAGACCACTTCAAACAAACCTGAATGAACCCATTTGTACTTCACATCACTGATAGAATTCTAGAAATGTTAAAAAAAGGGGGAAGACTTTCATATAGTCTAAATTTCATACTGGATGCTTTTTGTGAGAAAGACTTTCTGTTTAAATATTTTGGTTTGTGGGACATGAACAATGATGCACTGTTGTGGTTTCTTTGTAACTATTACAAAATGGTTCAACATCACTGGAAGAAGTGGTGGTGGTTGGTAGTCCACCTCCTTTTAAGATATCTGTTAAACTACATGGAAACCTTTTATATTTGTTTTGATAAACTGGTTTAATTCTTATTTATAACTGATGAAATAAAGATGGAAAAGCGGGGCACTGTCTGGTGCAGACTTATTTATGGGGCCCACGTTAGTGCCATTTGGTTTATATTATACCCGTTGAAAAGAGGAATGTTAACATCATGATTTTATGTTCAAGTTAAACAGTTTTAAGAGATCTTAATGCAGGAAATGGTCTGAAATTGAGGCCAGCTTCTTGTCTGGGTTAAGAAGGACTCTAGATGAGACAAAGGGAAAATGTTCAGGAAAGAGGTTTTATCCTGCTAGCTTAATTCAGCTTTATGGTGCTTGTCATGCTGTGTAAATTCAGCCACAGAAGTCAAATTCTGAGCACCTCAGAGCACAAACTGAAGCCTGCGTCGCTGGAAATGTCGCTGGCATCACATTCAAAATTAAGTAAACACTTTGAAGTCCAAAATGATTTCTTGTTTTCCGCTTTCGGGTAAAAGGCAATCTACAGAAATAAAAAACGCACACTCAGACCGGTCGTTTTCTTTATAATTTGATTATGTTCTGAAAACAGGTTATTCCTTTGCTGTGACAGCTCAGAGGGAATTGAGTATAATTAGACCATTTGCTGAAATGTACATTAAATACTCAACGCATCTTGGTAAAAATAATACACTAAATACAATGTTTAAGAAAAAAATAATCAAATCAAAGCACTTGACAACCCTGTAAACTACACGTTCTTTCTCCTCTCAGCCTCGTCTCTCTTTCTGCTTTCACTCGCCCCACATCATCTATAATGGCACCAACAAAGTGGATGTCGCACAAACACGCAGAACAGGGTATTGCACGAGGCTTCACCTCTCTTCTCACTTCACAGTTGGCAGACACTGAGGATGACGCCCCTCCCTCCCGTCTTCGAGCTGCGATCAGATGCAAACGAACTTTCGCCGCCTCTTTTTCTCCCCTGAAATAAACACGGGGGCCGTTGGTGTCGTTGGAGCCTCGCGTGCACACACCCTCCCAAATAAATAGCAAAGAGGTCTGGCCAAATGCGTGTGTGTGTGTCATGGTCGTGGTCGCCCCGCTTCCTCGTCCGAGCCTTGACCGGTGCAGCTCTGCGTCATGCTACAGTGCTCCTAAAGCTCCAGTCTTCAGCAGCCAGCTGTCAGAGGACTCTCAGTGCACTCGACTGTCTTTATGCGAGTATGTCGTCAACGTGGATGCGGCGGAATTAGCCTCCTCGCTCCGGTGGGGGGTGCGTGTGTGTGTCTGTGTGTGTTTGTCTGTGTGTGTGTGTGTGTGTGAGGCTGATGGGCAGTCAGCTGCTGCTTAGACCCGAGTCGCTGCGATCTTCTCTCCTTCCTTTTTCCTTCATGATGAAAAAAAAGAGGTGGCCGTCAGTGAGGAGAGTCTTAAATGTTCCGAAGGCAGAAGAACAGCGTGGTGTCTTTTCCTTACCTGCTGGATACAGCTCTGCGTGTCGGGTCTGGCTGTGGCACAGATCTCACAGCCGGGACGAGACGCTTTGTTGATAAAAGTGCATGAAGGACAAGCCCACTCGGTCTGCTGTGAGGGAGGGAGCGGAGGTGTTTACGGTTAAATCTACAATTAAAACAACCGTAAAGCTCGAACAACAAAGCTGTGCTCTGGCTCTCGGTGAGCCAGAGCACAGGTAAAGCCCTAGAACATTTTGTCTCGCTGCACCACATCCTTTTAAATCGGCATAGCGAGGTCACGTACCTGCGTTTTACTGGGTTTGTGTGCGTGATCATTGAGCTGCAGCTTCTCAAAGTTCAGGACATCTTTGATGTTTCCCGATCTATCATTCCCTCCACCTGTACCTGCAGGAGACGGTGAACAAAGGGAGACAAAAACAGGTAACTGCTTGTATCCAAACATTTAGGTAACACCAGATTTGAAAAGCTCTGGAATGAGTCACTCCACTAAGTTCCAAAGACTGAAATTACTTTTTAAAAATGTGTCCCTTTTCTTGAATCGCTAATGAAGCTCTGCTCATTTCTTTACCACAAAAGCCTTCTGTTGAGTTCTGGGGAAGTCAAACAGTTTACAACAGCTGTATTTTAGAACCTTGAGGCCATTTGGAGGTTTTAAAGAGCTTTGCTCTGACATCTGAAAGGAACTATAGATTGAAGGATATATAAATAACCGAAATCAGAGATGTTCACCTTGGTTGTTGTGGGGGAGCCTGGGGGGCAGGGTGCTGTAGCCCCTCCGGTCCTGGCAGGTGGGGCCGTTGCCCGGGGGCAGCGGCGGGGTGAGGAGGGCGCTCTCCAGGTCCTGCTGGAACAGCTGGCGCGTGATGTGGGCTTGCCTGGCGGAGATCAGATACAGGTAGGCCGTGTCGCCGTCCTTCTGCACGCCGTAGGAGGCCAGCGACCTGGGCTCGGTGCACAGGCACTGACCGATCACCCAGCGCTGCACGCGGGGGTGGAAGCCGTACTCCAGGAACACCTGGAGAAAGGGATATATTAGCGGGCCAGAGCCCAACGCCGAGCTCTCCTTTTAGTCGACCTGCACTTTCCTGACCTGTTGCTTGAGCGCAGCCACGGTCATGTAGGGGTAAACTTTCACTGTGACACAACAGGAAGACGAAACATCCTCCACCACCACAGACAAACTGCAACACAGACACGGCGCGGGGAAGTGAGCACACGCGCCTTGCAAGCCTGGAGGACACTAGGAGTCTTTTTTTTTTTTTTCCCGGCGTCTGACCTGATCTCCGCGTCGGCGTAGTTTTTCTGGGCCAGCTGGATGGTCAGCGCCGCTTTCTGTCGGGCCAGGGCCGACGCGTGCTGGGACGCCGCCCGAGCGTCGCCTGCCTCGATGGCCTTCGCCAGCTCCAAACACAGCTCCTCTGAAAAAAGGCACACGGGGCACAGAATGAGCACAACTGTTGGAAATGTCGTGGATCGAACGAACGGCGGTCAAGCCAACAACGCACCGGAGAGAGGCAGCGAGGCCGAGGTCCAGGGATCCGCCGCCCCCGCCGGGGGGGCGTCGGCTCTGCCGTCCAACTCACACTTACTGTTCGCAACTGTCACGTGAGGAAAAATCATAAAGGACAAACTTTATGACACGAGGATGACAGAACCTGATGTGTGGATTTTTACCACTTGAATTAAAATGACAAATTTGCTCCCATCAAAAGTTGCATTCATCAGTGAATCCACCACACACGAGAATCTTAAAATGAGAAATTGTTATTATTTAGGACATTTTTTTAATCTTCAGAGAGTTTTACATTTTCTATGTTAGTGTGCTTAAACATTTTAAGCAGCTTTGGAGTGAAAACAGGAGCTGAAAACAATCACTTTTAAATCCTTCTTCATACGGGCTCACGATGGGAATGTTTGTGAAACAGCATTTAACAGTCCATTTTGGAAAGATTAGTCCTACTTAACATTATTGTCTTCAGTAGTTTTGAGACAGAAAAAAAGGCAAAAAGAAAATGATAAATACTCATCCCTGATTAAAGCCCAACTGAAGGTCTTGTGTTCCACTACATGCACGTAAAACAGTGTAAGAAGCAACCCGGCGACATCTGTGTTTTCTATTGTTTGGTTGTAATTAATCCCTTAACATTCTGCCCCTTTATTAAAAAGGTAAATAAATAGAACAAAGGCTGAAACCCGGGGAGCTCTTTGTTTGACTACTCTAGTGAAACCTGGGTTAAATGCATATAATCGGATAACAAATCAACTAGCGCAGCTGCTGCTTTTGTTATCGTGGTGGTATCTTAGTTTAAGATGCTTTAATGAGATAACTTCAAGCTTCCACACAAAACCGTCTTCAACAGACTCAATGGCCCCCGGCTCATCCAGCCCACATTATGAAGCCTCCAAATGCAAGGTCCTGAGGCCTCCACTGGGTCTGACTTTGTGTACAGAGCATTTGTATAGAATAAAACACCTAGCATGAACAGGAGGATAAATTGGTCAAGATGGGAGATGACAAAAGAATCATTACCAGCAGTTATTTAGGTAACACAGAGAACTCTTTTCCTTTCAGTTTGAACTCTGCTCAGATAACCAGCAGAACACCCACCTCTGTGCGCCTCTCTCAGCGATGACATCACCACGGTGGCCCACTCCTCTGCCTCCCGGTCGCAGCGAAAGTTGAAGCGGATGCAGTCGTGAGGCGGAGCAGCCAGACGCATCTCATGGCAGCGAGAGGATTTGACCTCGTACTGCACCGAGCGCAAGTCAAACTCTGCAATGAACTGAGGGGGGAAAAAAACACGGTGAACACGCTTCTTCCAAACTAAACGTCAACCAGTATGGCTCCAGTTTTGTTTACGTAGCCGTTCATCACAAGTGAACAAAGTAGCAATGATGCAAATGGTTTTGTATTAGTGAATTAGTAAACTAAAAGTGAATTTAGTACATAGATGGCCTTAGGATATGGGTTCATACAGTAGGACATTACAAATCAGCATTTTCATTCATCATGCTCAACGAAAACAAACATCAAAGGTAGTGAAGTACACTGCAGAAAAAAAGAAAATATTCCCCGATAAGGTGGTCGTTGTTGTGTGAAATCTTCTGACACCGAGAGAGCGATCCTCCCTTTCCATAATCTGTTTTCTCTTATTCACCGTAGAAATGAAGGGAACTCAAAGTCACTATAGCCTGTCGGCGGGAGACAAAAGGAGCAAAGAGGGATTTGCCTCCTGCCATAGGGAGTGTACATGGATTCTCTGAAATGACAGTGTGCAAAAACTCTTAAAGATGATCTGAAAGAAACTGAGATCAAAGTAAAAAAAATTAAAAAAAACATGCAAATCAGGGAGCGTTTCAATTGTCGGTGGGGGGAACCGTCTGACTTTGAGATGAGAAAGCGATTCAAACGCTGGTGAGAGGAAGACGTCATGTGGCGAACTTGGCAAAAAAGGGGCCGATGTGAGAGCTGAGGCGGGATGTGGCAAGCCGACCAGAGAGCAGATTAGGGTCGCCACAAATTCTAAAACTTATAAACCTGAGTACTCATTTGGACTAGAAATGCATAACTAAAAATGGAGCTGTGTCTCATTTTATGCGAAGGATTCGATATGCCAAATGTACACTTGGTCCCATTCTGGTTGCAGTGTGAGGGGAACCACATCTAAAGTTAGTTGCAAGTAAATTCCCACGCATCTTGTATCTAAAAGCCTCTTCAAACATTCTCTTTGGACGGTGATCTCAGGGAGCTGATGGAGCTGTGAGGTATATCAAGATCAAGCTCATCAGATGTAGGATTTTCTTGCCCTGTTTGGCTCTAGGTCAGTTTTGAGCACTTATTCGGCTTCCACTGCATCACAGTTCAACTGAGGTGCACAAAAGTGATGCTTCATCTATCAACCTAAACACCAATATGTTGATAGTGGCATTAAAAGGCTGAGCAATCCATTCAGGTCTTCCAGAGGACAAAGGTTGAAAGTAATAAACTGCATCCTTTTAAGAGTCACACCTATTTTTCAGGTTCTTCAGCTCACCATCATCATGTGGCAGTCAGTATCAGTACAGAAGGTTGCTTTGGACCTGAATTAGCAGGTGTAGATCTGATTCCACATAGAGACAAGTAATGTGGTGCATGATGTATTAAAGAAGCTGGATTTCACAGTGGAGTTAGGGTATGATAAAGTTTTAAACGAAAGTTCTGATTGAAGCTGCAGGCTACAGGCTACAGGCATGGGTGGGATCCTAATAGACGGATTGAAACAGTCTAAACACAGGCTTTCCGGTTCAATGTCACAGCCATGTGTGGACCTGGCGTGCCGGGCTGACAGCTCCTGTGCAGGCCCACGGAGCTGCAAAAACACGCCTGTCGTTCAAGCCGGTGCCGAGTCGAACGTATCTGGGTGGATAAAGACAACAGTTGTGCTTAACGCATAGGTGCGCGTGTGAAAGCTCACCACACTGCGGTTTCCGCTCGTATCTCGCAGCGCCAGTCGGAACTCTCCGGCCCGGCTCGGGTCCATGCTGAGCTGCAGGCGCAAAGCCTCGCTCCCTGCTCCGGGGAGGCACAGGGGTCGAATCCCTGAATGGGACACCGAGACGCGGACCGACATCAAAACGGTACTGCAGCAAGCGGCTGTCACAGGCCCGCCGCACGCAGCCTGCTGGGACGAGGCAGGGACCGAAGCTGGGGGACCCCAGCCGCCCGAGCTGAGAGCCATGTCGAGGAGACACGGGGCGGAGTGAGGCTCGCTTCTGCTGCTGGGTCTATTTGGTCCACCGTTGATTGAGGAGATCACATTTTCTTCCGGGCAGACTGTGGTCCCCGTGCCCCGCAGTCTTTTCCATTTCTACACGATCCGAGCTAAAGAGGAGCGAAAGAAAAACAAAACAGGAAGTGGCGGGGTCCGTCTTGTATTTAGCTCCGTACAGAAACACAGCGCGGACACCTTATTACATGGAAGATGCTGAGAGAGAGAAAAAATGGCACCTATTAAATCATTGCAGTTCTGTTTGTTTATTAGTATTAAAAATATACACATGATGATTATTCATATTTTAAAAATGACTGGTGGGCTTTTATTGTTAGCGTAGCCTACACACTCACGTGCAAACACACACACACACTAAAAATAATGATGGATAATGTTAAAGGGACAGAGTCTAATACATAATAATAATGACAAAGTGCTTCCTCATATTGCAATTTGGTGCTAAGTAGGTATCAATTCCTTGATACTGACTTAGATAATTCGACAATAAGACAATTATTCAGTTAAGACAATTCAGATAAGACAATTTATTCAGTTTTACATTAACTTTAAAGCGTTATTCCAGTGTTTTCCAAAGCATGACCACAGCACCCAGGTTTCCCTGCAGTGATGTGCTGATACCATCCATCGCAATGCGACCATTCCGCCCATGATTCCGCCAATAAGGAGGAGCCACACACAGTATTTAAGCAGCCAGGAGTCCAGGACCAATGAGCACACTCATACAAGCCCTGCCCACGTTCCTGTGTGTCTGATTGAAAGCTGTGGAGCTAGACTATACTTTTTGTCAGTTGGTGATGTAGCTCTGCTTTTGTTTTGAGTGGTTTTAACAGCCCTGGATCTTCTGTTAGGTTGGGTGCAGTTGGTTTTGTGTTCAGTTTTGTTCCCTGGCAGCACATTTTTGGTATCTGATTACCAGGTTTTGTGTTCATTATTGAATCTTTACTTTAGTTAAATAACTCTTTGTTGTAACCTCAAAACATCTGGTATTTGAGTTACTGTCCCATTTTCCCAAATGAGCGGGCTGTAACACACTGAATAGATTCAAGAATAGTATCAAACATCATCCAAAACAAAACTGAACACGACAGAGAAACTGCTGTGGGCAGCCAATAAAAGTTTTGCATTTTATTTGTTATTGATTTACAATTTTGTTACAGTTCCAATAACAGATAGTAAGATAGTTTTCTTAACGACTCAAGATCAATGATTACAGAAGCTGATTAAGCCCACTGTGAACTATTTGTACTCTACTGATGAGGGAAAAAGGCTTTGTGTACGTGGTGAGATATGAGACAGGGAATTTGTGCTTTTGATTTAGCTGTAAAAGTGCCACTGTTTTTTATATTAACCTCCTATAATAAAGCGTATACCTCAAGGTAAAACTTAGACACATTTAATTCTTTGATAGTTTTTTCGATTAAACAAAACTTAATTTTGAATATTCAAAAGAAGACAAACATGGAATCATGGCTAGGTGGAGGTTCCAAACAAACCCTCTCACTGCTTCACGGTAAAATAGTAAATCAGTTCATATTTTTTTGTTTTCTATAATTTTTTATTGCTTCTGTCTTATTCTATTATATCCTCTATTATGTTCTTATGCCAGGAACCAGGTGTAGTCTGTCGAATATTAACTTAAATATACCATATTTAACGGTCCTTTGAATCTTTTTTTTAATTAGCTATTTTTATTGAACAATTTTTTAAATGACTGAAAATTAAATAGCGGGATAAGAGGCAGATCTGAAGTCAGATATATTAAGAACCGGCCATTCTTTCTGTAGTCACGCTTGGCCAGATGAAAAGTTAACATTTAACAAAGAAGCACATTTGTGGAATATTGAAAAACATCACTTTATCAATGACAAAGGGTCTTACAGCAGACTCACTCTGTTAATAAAGCACATATTACCACTTTTCTGCCATTTATATCCTTCACTAGAAGACTAATTCAGGTGCATCTGGATCCTGAGAAAGATAGAAACAGCTGAGCTCTCCACATTACAAGCTCTTGTCAGACAAAATTCCAAGAGATGTCCTTCCTGCAGAAAATCAGCTCAAATGTGAAGAACATAAAACAGCTGGAGTATTCAGCCCTGGCCGAACGGACAAACCAGATCAGAGAAGAACTCAGACAGGTATAGACAAATAGTATCACAGATCTGCAACAGTCGTTCAACCTGTGTTGCAATGCCTGTTTTGTATTCACGAGTCCACAGGGAGTGAGAAAGCCTTACGGGGATGTGATTGACGTCTCCTTTGGGGACCCCCACAGGGCAGGTTTGAAGCCTCTGTCGTTCGTCAGACAGGTAATCTCAAGCCCCCAGAACACTGTTAAAGCCTGTTACCTTTGTGTAAACCAAACATCTTCTCATACACTGTCTGACAGGTACTCGCAGCATGTCTTTACCCTCAGCTCATGAACAGTGACAAACTGCCTGCGGATGTCAGACACAGGGCTCAGAGACTGCTGGAGAGCTGTGTCGGAGAAAGTGTGGGTAAGGAGAAGTTCAGATAATATTCAGATACTCAATATATAAATATTGTGAAGCTGTTCCATGTCCGACTGCGACTGGCATGCATTTGAGTAAAACATGCTGAATTCATGTGCATTGGAAGCCAGTGTTTTATGTTATGGTTTATGGCTTTGCCAGAAAAAGATGACCTGATCTCCAAAAGAAAATCAAGCAAAGATAGAACATTTCTTCAGTTGAAGTGTTTTATGAAACAAATTCTTTAAAAATATAAAAAAAGAAAACATTTCGAACAAAGCAGAGCTGAAGCAGCTAGCTTTATGAAGAGTCTATTCTCAGCAACACCCCCACTCAGGAAAGCCTTTTAAACAGTACTTTGCTGTATTCTGTAGAAATTTGTGGGCAGGCATTTCATTGCTGGGGTTTTATTAGACTGCCAAAACTACCCTTTCAGGATACATGAAGAAAGCACAACAACTGAAACAACCAAAACAAAATATAAAAAAATACATGCTGATGCTGCTTACAATGCTGAGAAGATCAATTAAAAAAAAAAAATGCTTTATAGAAAATAATTTCTCTTCCACTAATCTAAATATTAGAGATAAATGTCCTAAAGCTTTCCTTGCAATTGTGCATGAAGGCTTTTATACATGCATTATTACAAATGACAAAAACAAAACTAAAATATATCTTAAAATGTGTCCTCTTCCTTGGTCTCTTCTCCAAAGCCATTGTAATTTTAATCATTCTCCTTTGTGCATGATCTAAATAATGATCTACATTTTTCATGTCCTTTCCTCAGGTTCATACACTGCTACAGCAGGCATTCCAGAAATAGTCCAAAGACTCTCAGAATTCATTACAAGACGGGATGGTGGTGTTCCATCTTACCCTGAGAACATTTACATCTCCCCAGGCTCCCAGTGGGCTCTCACGGTAACACAACTCCCTCACTGCACATCTTGTTCTTGTTACTGGTTAGAAGGCTAACCCATTGTATCGTCTTCTGTGGTTATCAGAACATTTTGAAAATCTTGGTGAATACCGATGGTCCATCCAAGACAGGAGTGTTAATTTCAGCGCCGTGCCACTCCATCACCACTTTGTCAATCTTGGGACTGGGAGCAGTACCAATCCCGTACTATCTTAATGAAGATGAGGGGTGGACTCTGCAGGTAGAGGAGCTGCAGCGAGCGCTGGAGTCTGCAAAGAAATTCTGTAACCCCGTTGCTCTGTATATCATCAACCCAGGAAATCCAGCAGGTCCCCGTGACATTTAATCAGTGAGTAGACGTGGCTGTTTTGTACTGGTGGAAAGCTGTTAAATCATGCTCTGTTGCCCGTAGGCCACGTTCAAAGTACAAGTTCAATGCAAGAGGTGATCCGGTTTGTGTCGGAGAAGAGACTGTTCCTTCTGGCAGATGAGGTAAATCAGTGTTTCATCACCTGCTCAAACACACTGGGAACCACCAAATGCAGGTTCATGTGTTCCTTCTCAGGTCTACCAGGGCTGTGTTAACGGTGACAACAGCAAGTTTGTCTCCTACAAAAAGGTTCTGGCTGAGATGGGGCCCCCTCTGTCAGACACAGTGGAGCTGGCCTCCTTTCACTCAGCATCCAAAGGCTTCACAGGAGAGTGAGTTCTCAGTTTTGGTTGCTATTTGAGGTGTCTCAGTGACATGAGGGGAAGGGATATCCTCTCAAAGTCTTAATCTAAGGAATGCACCGACAATAATTTCACTACAAAAGCAATACAATCAGAACAATGAGAATTAGAGAATTATATTATAGAGCGTTCTGAAAGTTGTTAAAAAAATAAATACTCCATGTCCACATGTTGCAGAAGTAAAAATCTGAAAACGGTGAACTCTGTTCAGACACTTCATTTAAATTTCTTCCAACAGGTGTGGTCTGCGTGGTGGATACGTTGAACTTGTGAATTTGGACCCGGTTGTTATGAAGCACATCCACACTCTATTCACCACTGGTTCATGTGCGCCTGTGTTGGGTCAGATTGCTCTGGATTTGATGACAAACCCTCCAAAACCACAAGAACCCTCATACCCTCTATATCACCAGGTTAGACCTGTGAAACGAGGCACGGTTTTTGGCTAATGAAAGACTGCATGGATTTGCAGTTGCTGTTGGCTCTCTCTTTAGTCTGGTCTGTCCTGTGCAGGAAGTTCAACACATGAGAACCACATTGGCTGAAAATGGGAAGAAGGCCTGCGAGGTTCTCAACAGCCTGCCAGGTTTCAGCTGCCAACCAGTGGAAGGAGGAATGTTTGCATTCCCCAGAGTGTTTCTCCCCCCTAGAGCCATCCAGAGAGCAAAGGTTAAACCCTCTCAAACAGAACAGTTTGATGTTGTAAACAGGGGTGTAATTTTAAAGACAGTGCCATTTCAGTGGTGTTCCATAACACAAAGGGTCTGTGCATATTCTAGGAAACAGGAATGCAACCAGACACATTTTACTGTATGCGGCTGCTGGAGGAGGCCGGGGTGTTGTCCATGCCTGGATGCGACTTTGGACAAAAGGAGGGCACCTACCACATCAGGTCTGAAGCGAGTTCTACTAAATGCAAATTTTCTTACAATGAGTGGTCAACATCAGATATATCAAAGTTGAAAGATATCCAATTCAAATTAACTCAATATAAAATGCAACACCTTTTTTGTGTATACAGATTGTGCATTGTGATCCATAAGGACATCATGGAAAATTTACTGAGGCACCTGGCTAACTTTCATCAAAAGTTCATGATGGATTTTTGCTAAATGGAGCCAAGAAAAAGAAAAAGAAAAGAAAGAGACATACATTTCAAATCAGTTCAGACGGTAAATGACGAAAATCCTACTCAGATTGACATGTACCTGTTTATTATAATAAATATTACATTATTTACAACCTAGTTCAGTGACGTCTGTCTTTACTCAGCGTAAAACTCCACTTCTGCTTTTCAGAAAGCAATAAACATTTGGTTTAATAGAAAATAAAGTCCACAATCCACATTAAGGATTTTTAACATTCATATTGAAATCAAAGCAAAAGTGAACCGTCCACTGTGGATTCTGCTCTTTAAAGACTTCCCAGTTAAATGATGGAAATAATTATATCCATTATTCAAAAGTACTAACAAAACTTAACTTGACCCTCTTTGGCTCCCCGGTACCGGCATGCAGGCAACATTCATTTTCAATCCACCTCACTTCCTGTGTTATGAAAAGGGTTTGACTCTGTATTGTTGAGCAGTTCTACAATTAATGACGTGAGCTTTCCATCCTGGGAAGTGTTAGCATTGCTGGGATCGTTGAGGTTTCTGTACAGCATGGTTTGAATGGAGGTACGCATATCCCACAGCAGTTCCCACGTCTCGACTGAGAGCTCGCAGCGCACCAGAGAGTGTCCCGGAAATGATACCACCACCCTGTCGTCAGTCACTGGGACAAACGAAAAAACAACATGACTTAGGTCTGAAATTATAGAAGCATTTTTGCAATTGAGCAGTTCAAATATCTGAGGGTATGGAGTTCAGGAGTCAGACTATCCAGAAATACTGGATATCTTCTCAGTTTTTAACCTAACAGAATGCCATCTGTCAAACGTATGGCATGTTAGGCAGGCTTTGAGAGGAAAAGTGTGGTAAATTAAAGAGATTACGTCCTGGGTCCTTCTGCATTCATTGTTCAACCTTTCCCTAAATAACAAGAATAAAAAAAATTTAAAAAAAGAAAATCTACTGCTGTACTACGACACAATGCACAGGATGTAGTGATTTCTAGCATCTAATATAAAAACCAATCATAACCCCACCGGGTTTTGTTGGTTTAAAGAAAGGTAAGGCATAGATTTATCGGAGGGCTCAAAAGCCACCATTTATTTTTTATTTTTTTAACATGACCAAATTAAAACGCAGCATTTTGACCTGATTACCAAATGTCATATCCTCCAGTCCAGCACAGTCATTACTACCAAAAAAAAAGGAAAATCCTTCATCATTAAACAAGAGACGGAGACAAGTATGCTACCTGTTTCTGTGATATCACAGTCTGTGAGCAGCAGCAGGGCCAGTGGATGAACCGTAGAGGAATCTCTGATGAAAATATTCCCGTTAGATTTGACAGCACTGAAGAATGTCAGCCAGCGAGTTGGAAGGTCTTCTTTTCCTCTGCAACCAACATGACAGACGAAAATCAGTCATACGTTATGCAAGTGCTGAACACACCACAGGAACCCCGAGTATGGCCGTACCTGTTCACTGAGGAGCGATGAAGCAACACCGGTCCACTGAGCGTACGAAAGCAAAGACTGTTCGGACGAAAGCGCCCTTTGTTTATAACCCCTTTCTTCACCTAGAATGACATCAGATGATTTACACATACAAGCAAACACAAAAAAAAAAAAAACTGATCCCCATAAATAAATAGGTGGCAATGTGAAAATCAACTGTGGAAGGGAAATGGTTGGGGAAATATTTTTATGATATAGTTATATGAGTTTATGTTACAAGGAACCTGCCGCAGCAAGCTCACAGAAAAGATTTTTGCAGTCCATCTGAAGTTTACCTGAATGAGGTTTGGATACAGTCCAGCAAGAAGCACAGCCTTAAGAAGCTCATCCTGGCTGCTGTGCTCATTGCAAAGCGACGTGTGACGCTGGCACTCACTAGCACGAGAAACCAGCCCTGCTTCCTGCAGATTGTCACCAAACTGAGATACGAGACCTGCCACAGAGAGAAACAAGTGCAAAATGAGAATCCACATGTCCACCCAACCCAGAAAATGTGGCCCAGCCAGTGTTTAAACGTGGATGTATAGCAGACAAACCGTTTATAAATCGAAGGCTGTTTTTTGACAGGGTATGTCTGTCCAGAAATGTGTATCTGTCTTCTCTGTCACCCTCCTGCTGAACTCTCCTCCAGCCCAGGACTGCTCTACTGAACACCAGATAGTCACTGAAGCTTGAGCCGCTCAGAACCTCTTTGGCCTGGATGGGCAAAACAGAAATAGTTGAATGAGACCAGAACTTTCTGCTTCAAAAGTTTTGTGGATATTAAGATCGTAAATTACATGGAGGCCAAAATGTGTCATGACCCAAAGCAGAAAAAAAAAAAGTCCATTAAAACTCACTTTGTGGACGAGTGTTCTGTTCTGCATGCTGTTGTGGAAAGGATCTCTGGTGAGACAGGCAGCGATTGACAGAATGGGCAGAACACATCTGAACATAGCACTCAGCACCAGCACTTTGCCTAGCCGCGGGTCACATGACATGCAGGCAACTCGCTCTCCCAGAGGAGTCAGGGTTTCCGTTTTATCCAGAACGCCTGCCAAGGAAAAACAGTGTGTGGCATTTAGTCCTATGCTGCACTTTGCACGGGTGCCTATGTGGATTCTTCACTCACCTATGTCCTGCAGGTTTTGCACAGCAGCTATCACAGCTTCTTGTTCAGGACTGTCCAACACTTGGGATAAGAAATCTACAGCCTAGACACAAATACACACACACACACAATCCATGTTATCAAATATTTTGACAGAAGAGTAAGTGACCAAAAAATAACAAAAGCCATAGTTTTGTTTGTGCACCTTAGAGTTGGGACTGTGGATTTTAGCCTGCATCACTAAACTCTCAAGCGGTGTGCGGAGGATCTCGGGAATAGGAAAGGGACTCATGGATTCCAACTGTTTCCTTGGAAACAGGTGGTAGGACTGTCCTGGCTGGCAACGTCCAGCTCTCCCTTTCCTCTGTGTGACATTAGAGCGTGATATCCAAACTGTATCCAGACAGGAGACCTGGAACACAGAACAGATGGATTAGTTTTACCATAAAGCACATGACTGACAGGAAACGGAAGCAAAGTGGAAATACTAGCCTTTGTGTTCTGGTCATAATTCTGTTCTTTGTGGGTTCCTGCATCCACAACGTGCACAATGTCATCTATTGTAATGGAGGTCTCAGCAATGTTTGTGGCAAGTACAATCTTCCTCTGTCCCCCTTTTGGGCGATGGAACACAGCCTGCTGATCAGCCACCGATAGACTAGAATGCACTAGAATCAAAACAGAAGAAATGATGGACTCAGCAAACCAGAGAAAGAAAACTCTATATTCTTAGTAAAGAGATCCGTTTCTTACTTACATGGTATGATCATGTGTGAATCTGATGAAAAGTGTGGGTTTTCCTCAAGTTTCTGCTGAACTGCTTTGATGTCCTGCCAACCAGGAAGAAAACATAGCACCGCACCTACAAAATGATGAGGAAGGAGTATTACAAGCAAATAGAAAAAGCTCAGACCAAACACATCGATTTGTGACTGTGCATTACTCACCTGGATCTCCGTTTTTGTCAATGTGCTCGAGCAGATCAGCCACTAAATTCAGATCTGGTGATGTCTCTTCAAATTTTCCCTTAAATAAGATCAACTCAAACTTGTGAGACACATGAAAAAATAGCTACATGGTGGATATTTTGAAGGGGGAGTTTTGAGCTTCACCTGCTTGTCTTTCCCCCCTCTCTCTTGGACAGGAGGTTGTCGTCCCATCTCTCTTAGCACGTCCTCCAGGTATCTGTCCCGTACCGGATGCATGAATCCCGGCACTTTCACGATAGGGGAGCCACCAAAGTACTCAGCCAGTCTGTGGTTGTCTCCAGTGGCGCTCATCAGGACAACCCGCAGGTCAGGGTTCTCCTTTAAGCTCGAACGCAGTAAGGCAAGCAGTAGGTCTGTGTTGATGTCCCTCTCGTGGACCTCATCCACCACGACGTGACTGATGCCCTTCAGAGTGGGATTGGACTGAAGCTTCCGCAGCAGGACACCCACCGTCAGGAAGAGCATTGCTCCTCCGCTCTGCTCGGGGGGTCTGCTCTCAAGCCTCACCTGCGTAAACAGCAGTGTTATTGCACCAGCCGCAAGAAGGAAAGTAGATAAACTGTAACCTGGTTCAGTTCTGACTGATAACCTAGCAATTCAATTCAGTTTTTCTTTAAATAAAAAACAAAACAACAGATATTCAAACAAATATGTCAAATCCCTTCATATATTCAGTCAAAGACCTTTTAATTTAACCATGATCCAATTCAGGATTCTTTTCCTAAAGAGGAGAGGACTGTGTGCACACCTGATATCCCACATAGCGTTTCAGATCTGGACCCATCTCATGAGTAACGCGCTGGGCCACTGACACGGCACTGATCCGACGGGGCTGAGTCACCAGGATGTTGCACTCGGCGCCCTCCCCACGCTTCACCTCTTCCTCCAGCAGGAAGCGAGGGATTCGTGTCGTTTTGCCACATCCCGTCTCACCGGCGAGCACGACCACCCTGGAGGACCGCACAGCTGCCATCACACGCTGGCGGTGGGCGTCCACCGGCAGCTCCACGCACGGCCCGGGGTTTGCACGCTCCCACTCCTCCTGCAGGCGGCGGCTGAGCAGCTGAGCCTGACGTTCAGACGGAGGCCTGTACGGCCTGCCCGTGATGGCATCAGTTACAAAGTCTTCATCCTCATCGTCTTCCTCCTGGTTTTCAGTCTGCTGTGCTCTTAACTCCTCTTCCTCCCATAGTTTCTGAACCTCTATCGCTGCTGGGTACTATGACAGAAATAAGGTATCATTAAGCAATAATAACTTTTAAAACAAAAATAGTACTTTTTTTTGTTGCAAAAACAGATATGATGGGCTACCAAACCGAAACTTATTTATATTTTTCTTTCGAACCCTCTTTGTCTAAAAGAAGAATACTTTAGATTTAGAATTACCAAGATTAACACAAAAAGATCCATCAAAATTTTAACCACCTCCCAGTAATTTTTTACATCAATTATTGAATGTGAAATTATAATTCTTAGAATAATGATATTAATAATAATGAATTAAGTCTATGTAACCATCCCACATGTGGGTGAAGAGCGATGAGTACTAACCTCTTTGAGGTATTCCCTCATGTTTTGCTCCAGGTACTCGGGCACCTGCACTGGGAGTGGACGCCTCTCCCTCTCCCCAACCTCCTTCACCTTCTCTCGATGGTACTTGGCATGAGTCAGTGGGTTGTTGTCTTTATCCAGAAGCTCCAGCTCCTGCACCAGGGGGCACGATGTATGTCTTGACACAGTTCTGACATGAAGGTAATGGCAAGAATAGCTTAGCAAAGCTCGCCTCACCTTCAGCTTCATGCAGGCGAGTGCTGCAGCCCTCTTCTCTGCGGTTACCCGGTTGCTCGCTGTGGCCGTAAATGCCATCTCCTCAGGCCAATGCAGAGTCAGTTCACACTTCTTTAGCTTTCCCCCCGATGTTCTGAACTGTATCAGCTCCTGCAGTAATACGTTAATGTAGCTTACAAAAAAAGCACAAGCTGGCAATGCAGAGAATGAGCATATCTACTAACCCTGATTCTGTTGGATGATGTGGCCACCTGGACAACCCTGGTCAGGAGAGACTTAGGTTGTGGAAAAAGGGAAAGAGCCTCAGAGACTACGGAGACTTCTTTCGAAGGCAATTGTTCTACTTCTCTTGATCTGAATAAGTGGATATCATCTTGCAAGCTGTCTTCTTCATTATCACGAAAGTGGGAAAGTAGCCCTCCCCTTCCCCGACCGGTCCTCCTCTTCGGGAGCTGATTCTTGGGGCCAATAACACCCATTTCCTGTAAACAAACAGTGCTGAGGATCGAGTTGGCAAAACAAGACGTTAATGGGACCTATTCTCCTCTGACAGCAGCTCACCCTCAGCTTGAGACAAGCAGCGGCAGCAGCAAACCGCTCTGCATCTATCTTCTTGGATGCATAACCGTCCTCTTGAATGTCGCAGGGCCACTGCAGGGTGACAGTGGCTTTCTAGAAGAAGTAATGGAAGAAAAACACAGTTACATCACAGGCCGCCTGAAACAAAAGCCAGAATATAAATATTAAAGTCTTTCATCATCATGACTGCACTGACCTTGACACCAGCTTGTTCTGTGCAGCTATACTGGATGAGCTGGGTAAGGTCGCTCACTCCCAGTGACCGAGATAAAGTATTGTTCAAGAGGCTTTTGGGATCTGGAAACTCCTTCAGCAGGTCTGAGCTAACGTTACCTAATAAACAAAAAAACTTAAGAAGGTCAGACTTGAAGAAAGGTCAACTATAATCATACACAGCTCCTACCAACCATATGAATACTGTAAAAAAAGACCGTGATATTTAAACGGGAATGATGCGTCCCAACACAATGAAAGTCCTTGAAGTAAACGCAGGTGATAACTGTCACCTGTTAGCTAGCCTTAGCTAACCGGCGTTTTTCTCTCTCACCTCGCTTATTTTGGACATGAGACGTGCCAGGTTCCCGAAAGCTCCGGGCTTTTGTCCCATACCACCGCATTTCTCTGCTCCAGTTTGACGCTGTTTTTTCACCGATAGTGACGCATTTGGTGACATTGCACAGAGACTTCAGTCGCACGAGTAGAGCACCGGGTAGCGCCATCTTTAAACTACAAATTCTTCTTCGCTGTCCAATAGCTGTGCTGAAACATACGTCTCTACAGCGACCCCTGTTGGATAGGAAAAAAAGTCAAAGTAAAGCCCTGTTTGAAACCCCTAAAAGCCTTTGTGCAGCTGTTTGTAATTTATTCATTTTGAGTTTAGTTGAATTCTATTATTTTCTTTATTTATACCTTATTTCTTCACAGTTATTCATAAAACCAAATTGTTTATCTCAATTTGAAAATAAGGCAGAACCATGGCAGATGCTTTTTGGTTGCTTATTCAATCAGACATGAATTTTCAGTTAAAGGGGAACATTTGACATCTGCTGATAATAGATTGATTGATTTTTAACCATGTAAGATGTTCCCAAACCTCAAAATAAACAGGGAAGATTTCAAAGGCCATTACTGTTCCACATTTTAAGTCTAACCATTGTGAGACATCAATCCATCTATCCATTATCGTTACTGCTTATCCCCCAATGGGGTCGGGGGGGGGGGGGGGGGCTGGGGCCTAACCCAGTGGTCAATGGACGAGACGTGGGGTACACCTTGGAAGGTCCGCCAGTCCATCGCAAGGCCAATTGTGACACATTGTTATTATACTATTGATCTGTTGCAGATGTACAGTGTTCTTAGTACTTTTTAGTAAGAAAAGCCTAAAATTTCCCCCCACCACAGTGAGAATCAGTGAAGATGTGACTTTCAATTCAAAGGGGAAACAAAAATGCAAGGAGTTTGTCGATTACAAATTTGTTTGCTTAAAGCAACATATTGCTGAAACATTACCATGTTTGTTTTGAATAGACCTAACACTACCAGTTTGAAATGTGAGAATAGCATGACTGTGATAGGGTACCATAAGCATTCCAACCTAATTTGGAAAAAAATGTGGACACTGAGCACCAGTTATTTGGCACCATACTGTAAGATTGCTTGAAATGTTTTTATAGATGCATTTTCTATATATGATTAATCATATTCAGTGTTACAGTGGGTGCTGCCGCCAATTCCAGCTGCCATAGACATAAAGGCAGGGCATGCCATGGAGACATTTTATTGTAGTCAATTTCATTATTAGAAATGTTATTTTATTTTGGTCGTTTAGTCTGGGCTAATATCCTGGATATAAATGGTCAATAAGTCAATTGAAGTCATACCATATTTCATCCCATCCAAAAATAAATATAATAATTGTGAATGTCAACTTCATTTTTGGGCCAATAAGACATGCCAAGCTTTACTTGGTCTCTATATGTGTTGATATTAGGACACACAGTTGTCCTGCCACCTGGGAAATAGAGGGGAAATTCTCAGGCTTTGTTTGATTTGTTTGAGTTGATTCCAAAAAACAGCTCCGGCTGTTACTTACTGTTCTTTTGGACAAACGAGAGATGGAGGGAGCACTTGTTCTCTTCCTTTTTGTGACAACAGGCAAGTTCACCATAAACACACTTTTTTTAACAAAGAACTCTGTTTAGACATCTAGGAACTGCATGTTATTCCTCTGCTTGATAAGTCTGTTATGTGCCAAAGTGTCTGGTTGTGGTCTTCCAAATTACCAACCCAATACCGGCCGTGTGGTGAATGGGGAGGAGGCTCGTGCTTACAGTTGGCCATGGCAGGTAAGAGTGCAAAATAGACTGGTGCTTCTCCATGATCTAATAAGGGAACTTTACAACAAATTGTGCAGAATTCTTTTCATGACTGATGACAATTTATTTCTGTTTTTCCCCAAATCATATTAGGTATCTTTGGAATCCTTCTTCCCCACTTGTGGCGGAACACTTATTGCTCCCGACTGGGTTTTGACTGCTGCACACTGCATCACGTCAGGAAAACTTTCTTTTGTGAATCTCAAAAATAAGCTGTTGTTTTTAAATGCAAAGATGCTACTTGAAGCATCTAAATTAATATAATTGTAACGACCAGAGAATAACATAAGCACTGTTTACATTTCAAATGAATAGACAATTTTTGCTTCCCCTTTCAGATTCCACACATACAGAGTGATTCTTGCAGAGCATGATATGAACAAAGAAGAGGGACCAGAACAGTCGATCATGGTGGCAAAAATGTTCCTCCATCCAAAATGGAATGACAACTGTCCCTCCTGTGGGTAAGTTTATTTGATATAGAGAAAAAAAGCTCTTCAGCAAAGCCCCAGTCTAACATTCTACAACGTTGACCGTTTTTTATCAATGTGCTGGTTATGCAGGAATGATATCGCCCTGCTTAAACTGGAAAAAACTGCCATTTTTAACGACAAGGTTCAGCCTGCATGCTTGCCACAGCATGGCGCTGCTCTCACCCACAACCAGCCGTGTTACATCACAGGCTGGGGCCGTCTCTACTGTAAGAGCTGCCTCTACTCCTAATGTGTCACAGTGTAAATCAACATATGGAATTTCTGTTAGACATTTCAGAGATACATGAAATGATCACATAATCACAATTAAAAAAAAAGCCATTTTCTCTGCAGCCGGTGGTCCACGGGCTACCACACTTCAGCAGGCGCTGCTTCCTGTGGTGGAGCACAGTGTCTGCAGTCAGAGTGACTGGTGGGGCAGTTCAGCTAAGACAACAATGGTCTGTGCAGGAGGAGAGAGCAAGTCAGCGTGCCACGTGAGAAACAACTTCAGACCTTCATGTTTTGCTCTTGTGAAGCAAACTGATGTCGCTCAGACCTCCAGTCTCTTTCTGCAGGGTGACTCTGGAGGGCCTCTGAACTGTCAGGGAGGAGACGGCAGGTGGTACGTCGAAGGAATTACGAGTTTTGTGGATGGACGCGGGTGCAATACCCCGAAAAAACCCACAGTCTTTACCCGAGTAGCCTCTTTCATTCCTTGGATCACTGAGGTGAGGGAGACAACTTAGAACCTGTATTGTGCCAGTTTACATTCAGGAGACTTTTTGTGAAGCGTACAAATTTAATCCTGTTGTATTTCTTTGCAGACGATGGCTGAGAACTGAGTGCTAAAGCAAAATAACAATAAAGTGTTCAACAGCATCCCTGTATTATATGTGGCTTGTATTTAACTGAAATACATGCATAAAATAAGTGCTATTCATCATATTTTTTTTTCATAATCCTAATGTAAAAAAATGCTTTAGGAATCAGAAAGGTTTATTCTTTAACATGTGCAGATTAAACATTACAAACTCACAAAGTAAAAAAAGGAAATGAAAGCATATTAGAAAACTGTAATTGTTCTGAAGCAGGAAATTAATATTAACATATTAAGAATAAACTTAAAACCAGTCATGTCAGATCACATATGCATTTCTAATAACAGCACATGCTAAATCTTGAGTGACTTTAATTTGACTGACTTTATTTTAAGTTTGATGAGAGGCTGAGTAAATTGAAACAGAACAAAATTATGAGTCTGCGGGTGTCCAGGTGAAAAAGTCCACTCTCTGCAGCTCCTCCGGTAAGTACTCCTGCTCTATGGGACCCCTGAAGGACGGGTTGTATTTGTAGTCTTTACCGTAGCCGAGCTGTTTCATCAGCCTGGTGGGAGCGTTGCGGAGGTGCAGTGGGACAGGGGGCAGGGGACCTTTGTGGTTTCTCAGACAAGCCTTTACGTTGGCATAAGCCTTGTAGATCTCAACAGACTTGGGTGCTCGAGCCAGGTAGATAACACACTGAGCCAGGATTACCTGATGCAAATGATAAACACCTTTTGTGAGAAAGGCTTATTCTCATGAAACAGCTCCTCGTTGGTTAGATCAGCCTACCTCACATTCGGGCATCCCAATGAAATGACAGGCTTGGAAAGCAGACACAGCCTGAGGGAGGGCAGAGGGATCCGCCATACCTGAAAGAACCAAGTCACAACACATCCAATCACACTGCAATACAGAACACATTTATGTACCATTAAATATTCTGTGAGCATCCCATGGGCATTGTCAACATGTTGTCAACAACATCTATTTACCCTCATTGCAAAAATGCAATAAAAACATGGGTGAACATAGTATAACCACTTTTGGTTTCAGTCTTCATTAATTATATCCATTTCTAAATCCCCTGTAAAGCAGATCACAGTATCAGTGTGCTTCACGCCACTCTGCACTCTCAGGAAAGATATTAGCTGACCTCTCAAACTAGAGGCTGTCACTGTCATACTGTCATGGGTTGGTCAAATTGAGGCACTGCAAACACCACCGTTTTATTCTGAGTAAACTACACAAATCTTAAACATCCCTCCTTTTTAAGTTACTCTTATTACACACGTGATTTATTTCTGTGCTGGAAAACCCATTTCCGAGAAAGAAACAAGACAGGTGTGCACCCATCTCTGAGCGCTACACCACCACTGACAGAAAATTGTGACATTTTGAATATGTGTAGGAAAACACAATACAGCAGAAACTAGAGTCTAGTGTCTAGAGACGTTATTAGTGAAATCTGACCATACAAGAAGCAAGCAGTGAGAGGGGGCATCTTAAAAATGGACAAAAAATATTTTAGGAGTAGATGAGATGATGAAATACTCACGTACCCACATCCTCACTGGCAAAGCGGACCAGCCGGCGCGCCACATAGAGTGGATCCTCACCACCCTCTAGCATGCGGCCCAGCCAGTAGAGAGAGGCGTTCTCATGGGAGCCTCTCATGGACTTGTGTAAGGCTGAGATGCAGTTGTAATGCTCTTCACCTTTGAGTAAAATATATATACACACATTATCGCACGGAGCAAGGGAAGATCATTATATGGTATAAAGATACTATTTCACGAACTGTAATGCCAAACCCTATGATATAACAAAGCTCTTTACAACTTATCTGTAAAGGTCTTCGGTAAGGTTGAGGCACAGTTTCATCTCCCAGAGAAAAGAGGACGGTAAATCTCGATCTTTTGGGACAGCTGAGTGTTGCGTAACAGGTCAGAGTAGAGGACAAGTATGTCTCATGTGGGAGTTTAACCAAGGATGCTCAGCAAAAGGGGTCGATGTTAGGAACCGCTAAGACTCCAGAGAGCAGATTTTAGGCGCTGCATCTAATAATAAACACAATGCTGATAGAAGCTGTTGTGACTCACAGAGCAGAGCAACATGGCATCTCTGCATTGGTTAGCTGCCATAGCGGTAGGCTCAGCAAACTGCATCTATCTATAGCCTTATGAATGCAGATCACACTTATTCTCACCTCAGTCAATTATACCTGAACTTTGAACCTGAAATGTTTGGCTGTAGACAGGAAGCACCATCTGGGAGATTTCTTTAAATATTTTGTGCAAATATGAGATGTTCAGAGGGGTTCTGAATGACATATTCTTAGATGTAAGAATTCTTTTCACAAACCTTGAACTTGAAAAGAGTACATACCTTCGAGGGGAGAACCCTGTAGGCAAGCCCCGTACAGAGAAAGTGTGCATACATAAAAGCATTTGAAAATACAGGATTTTACTTTTACGATCTATTGTTGAAGCTGAAAATTGTCTCTTTCCAGTCACTAGCTAAGAAATGTGTACAACTCTAGAGAGAATATGCACAGCAAAAGAAAATATAAGACAACATTTTTGCACAGTAACATATTCAACCATTTCACTGTTGAGGGAATCACATCCTACTACAAGCCCTAAATCAAAACTGACCTTCAAATGAATTCCATTTTCGATAAAAAAAAAAAAAACTATGACTACTTTCATAGATGCCAGGATGAAAAAAAAAGTTTAATCTGATGACCAAAGCAAAAGGCAAACTCAGTCCTCTTGCACAAGCATGATAAATACATTAGGGCTTACCAGCTTTGTCGTAGAGAATGTGGGACCTCTGAAGACCCTCCTTTATGTGATCTTCTGTCACCACTATCTCTTGAGGACAACCATCTTGTGCCGACAGCTTTGGCTGGGCTAAGTTCATCTGAGCCTGAACAGCCAGCTGGAGACCATTAAGTCCCGCTCTTGCATCACCATCACAGAGGTAGGCAATGGTGTCCAAGGCCTTTCTCTCAATGCAAATTCTTGTCCTAAAAACAAGACTACACATCAGTTACACAGTACAGATAGTTCTAAGACTTTGTATATGCCATTTTTAACACAGATACTATCATACAGTCTCTGATTGGACTATTCAATGTATGATGAGGTCGCAATGTTCTGACACTGATGTGAGGGGCGTCTGAGACATATTTACAACATTCAGAGAATGACAGCGTTTTCCCGCATAGTCAAATCATTAAAAAGCTATTTATGCCAACAACATTTAGTGTCAGACCAATCAGCTCCCACAAATGGGCCTTTCTCTTTTCTGTTATTTCTGTCTGACTTGTGGGTGCTGCTCAAAATGGACAAACACATCAGAAACAAGGTTATCTTCCACCTTTCCTAGTTATCAGACAGTTCCTGCCCCTGACAGCAACCTGTGACAAGTGAAAACTTTAGACATTTTTAACGAAGGATTGTAAGATAATGCGTCACACTTCATTCCTGGTGCACAGGGGCACACTTACTCAGGTTCATCAGTTTGATCTTGATCTTTTAGTTTTTCTGGGCCCTGACCCTGAACTCTGATACCAAGAGCGGCCACGGCCCTGTCCAGGATCAGGCCCATAGCTTCCACAGACAGCTTCTCCAGAACCAGCACTCTGCACCTGCTCAGGAGGGCAGCATTGACCTGGAAGGATGGGTTTTCAGTGGTGGCTCCAATGAGAGTGACTGTCCCACACTCCACATGGGGAAGAAAGGTGTCCTGGAGATGCACAAACATGCAGTCACAACACATGTTCACGTTCCAAAAACTAACAACTGCCAGTGGTAATTTACTAACACTTCATTCTGTAAGGAAATTTGTTATTTCAATATAATCAGCTGAACAAAACCAACTTCTAACATCATTTAATAAGGATTTGGACTTTCTGTTACCTGCTCACTGATTTACTGTTATACCTTTCAGAGAAAAATGGCAATTTGTTTTTCAATGATTATTGAAAAAACTTCAAACCTAAGTTTAACAGTTTGTCACCAATGATCCTGTCTGATTTATATATCTATCATCTTAACTTGTGACTCAGTCAATCATAATTGCTTTGCAAGGATGAAACATAGGTGCTGAATTGTCTGAGAGAGGATGACAAAAAGCAAATTAGGCCAAACCCTCTCAGTAAAAGCCTGACCACATGGACAAAACACAGAACACGTCCTCATCTCAGCACATCCTTTGTGGCTCGGCATTGCACCTGCTGGGATTTGTTGAAGCGGTGAATTTCATCGATGAACAGGATGGTCCTCCTTCTACACAGTCTGAGCTCATTCTGCGCCTGCTTGATCACCTCTCGGACCTCATTGGTGGACGTGCTGGTGGCCGACAGCGTCACGAAGCGAGCCGTTCCCTTCTTTTTGCTGGCGCTGGCAATTATGTGAGCTAGAGTTGTCTGAAAAGAAACAAGTTGCAAAATACAAAAGCACACCATGTACAGCAGTGAGTGTTATTTTAAGAGAGACATTAATCTTTTCACAATCAAACTTCACCTAAAACATAACTGCTGATTGCTATGAGACAGGTGACAGGATTTGAATGGTAAAGTGTTAGTGAAGCATGTTGACAGTGTCTGAGAATGATAAGCTGCTGGACAACAATCTGCACTATTAGCTCTGCATACCCAAGAAGTCATTCAACTGTGACTGACTGGTGGTTAGCAACAACTACATGGCCAAAGGCTGTTTGCGTCACTCTTTGACTTAGGAGAGGTTTTTTATATTTAAAAAATTTGGAGTATATCTGCCATTTAAATATCTGATGTGCTAATATTTCTAATTTGCGATCATAGCCATTTGGAGAAAGAAAATCACAATTTATCATAAAGGAATGTTGACGATGCATTTAGAATTTAAGGTCTTTATTAATGCAACACTGTTGTATTTTTCTGATTGTGAACTTTTTTTTGTAGTGGTTGGATACTTAAAATTATACAAACCACTCAAAAGTACTTGTTTGATCAATGCTTTTCAATAGATTATGGAGGCCCTGAGAAGATCACCTATTCTGTGCTACTACTAACTTGCTTGGGAATGCATCACATGTCACCTGCACACCTTTCCGCATCCCGGTGGACCCCACAGGATCAGAGATGGTATCTCCTGAGACTCCAGAAGAGACCTAATGAGTGTTTGCTGGCCTACAACTTTACTCTGACCAAAGTATTCCTCCAGTGTGTTTGGTCTCAGCGTCTCTGCGAGAGGCTTGCCCAAACTGAGCGGTATTCTCGGTGGGAGAACGTTTGGCGTCTTCAACGTGCTTTCGTTTGACACCGACGCAGTCTCAGCGTTTGCAGGTTGGCTCACTTCAGGGGGCTCTTTCAGCGAACGTTTCACCCCCTTTCTGTCGGTACTGACGTCGCTCTGTTTACCGGCGAACGTACCACTTGGTTCACTCTGAACAGATGGTTTACCCTTGTTGGTCTGAAACAGAGAGAAAACAGCTGAAGACTGCGTGCCAGCCATGGCGGAGGAGGAGCTAGACTCAACTATGTTTACGGCTTCCGCACTAAAGCGAGGTTTCTTCATGGGAGGTCCGCTCTCTGGTGCGGACGGACTCCCGTCGGTAACACCTTTCAGTAGACACACATCCAGATGTCCGTTAATTGTCACGGGTGTGAAGTCTTTAAAACATACGGGACATTGAACAGAGTCCGGTGCGGGTGGTGACATCTCGCTCGCCATGTTGGTTCCCGCGAAATGTTAGTTTGACCTTAAATCACGTGACCAAAACAGTTTCGAGATAATCTTTCAGAGAACGCTTTTTCACTACTCTTATATCTCCTTTTTCTGTTTCCAAACTCCCCGTGCTAATTGGTGCAAGTAAACCAACAAACAGACAAAAAACAAAATGAACAACTTAACAGGTTATGTCATAATAAAGAATAGCCAAGGCCTTACTTTGTTTTGAATTAAGATGCATTTAAGTGCAGACAAAACTAACCGCCATTTAAGATTCCAATGGTCATTATAGATATTTACTAAAATGTCTGTTTTTACCTTAGTTAATGCTAAAAGAGTTGGTTCTGCTTCAGGTTTATTTAGGCCACCAATGAGCTCTGAGGCTATTCATGTTTTTTTAGGCCATACAGATTTTTTTCCCCAAGTTGCTGTCCTATTATATTGTGGGACCTGTCTCCTTTCCCTTTGCAAAAGATGGTCTGGTGTATCAGAAGCATAAAGAAATAATTATGAATGCATTTGTGCTCCTTTTTATCACTTAGAAAATTTGCCACTTGGATTTTATTTCAGGTAATTTCACAGGAAAGTATATAATCTTTAAACAGACCACTCAATTGGACACTTGAAAATACTTTACATATTATGCTCCCCAACGGTATATAGTGACTGGGCTAGAAGTGTCCCCTAGGTTACAGGCACATTGTGCTATATTTTGTATTTATATGAGTAATTTTAACCAAACAAACCTGGAGATGCGAAATATTGCATCTCACAACGCAAAGATATTTTACAGCCCCTGTCAGCTGATGCTGAGGATGTGCCAGTGTCATTGTTAATCTCTTTGACTTGGAAAAACAAATACTGTAATGTTTGCATCATGTGGAAACTCATGACACCGTGTTTATTGTTTCGTCAACACATGGCATTAATGCCAAAACTCAAAAGCAGGCAGCAGCTTGGTATATTTCAACAACTGCCAAGAGGTGCCAAAAATGTTGTAAAGCAAGTGCACTGGGATTTGAAGAATCACGGGCTGCAGATGAAACACAAGTAGTCTACCACAAATCAGAACCAATGTTTTTGTCTTCATAGCAGCCAAAGGATCCATTTGAGCGGTGAATAGGGGTGATAAAGTCGGCTCATTATTGTACTTGGCAACGCTGGTGGTGAAATTAGAGGAGGCTGGGGAGGTTTCCGTGCATGCTGCACATAGCTGTGACTGACGAGATGATGCATTCTTGGCAAGACAATTTGTTGTGAACTACGTTGAAGAATAGGTTGTTGGCTTTAAAATACCTCAAACATAGCGTCTGTCCAATTTTCCCCAAACAATGATTTCGAGTTGCATTCCACAATCAGTCAAAAGTTGAGTGATTGTTCCCACTGGATGATGCAAAGAATAAAACTTAATAAATTTGCCTCTGTTGCAGTGCCATGTCATAGTTTGTGTGTGACATTTACAGCAGTAATCCAATCGCGTAGGCTATTTATTTACTGCATTTCCAAGTGTCTATGTTGACAGGGAAACTACACCCCCGGTCACAATTCTCTGTCAAGACTGTGCACATTAATTTTAGTTTCTTTGAGAAGGGGCAGCACAGGAAGGAGGCCTAAAATATAAGGTTTTCTTTCAAGTGTGGATAAAGCGACTGGGAATAGGGAGAGAGAAAGAGAGAGCTTGCGTCTCCAACACCCTTTGCTGGCACCTGTCATGCTTTTGTCACGAGGACATACTGGCCGTCCTTTGGCTGCAAAGTGTCGATTGGGTTGACTGCGTTAGGAGAGACTGTCGAGGATAGCACGGTGTTAAGGTTTGGGCGGGCTTTACCCTGAGGAGGTGCTGTCATCTGCTGCACTTGAGGCACTACTTTCTAAGCTCCAAGGGGCCCTTTGTAGTTAAAGATAGGTAAAGCAAGGCCGTGAAGAAAGGATGAGAAGTAAAATGAAAGCCATGGAGAATTTAGGCACTGTGGGGGACATTTGGCTCGTCAATAGCATGTGTCTGCTCGTTTCCTACCTCTGGCGTAGGCTGTGTGGTATACTCTGCAACAGGAGGAGCAACAGAGCATCTGACCATCAGGTACTGACAAAGCTGTTTGAATTGTGGAACTCAATCATTTGCGCACATTTTAAAGAAATCTAGAATATCAGCCAAGTAGCAACAGCAGCAAATGCAGTTTCTGTAAGTTTGGCAATCATGGTTTTACATCTTCTCACAATAAATTATAAATTGCGTGAGAATTCCCAAATCAATGCACTTATTGTTGACACTGTTATGTTGAGTGTATGCGCTGATTATGTTTTGTTTGACTGTATAATGGGCAAAAGACAGTTTTTTTTCACATTGAAAACAACCAGTATATATTTACATCTATTTTAATGTCATGGAAATCTTGAAGTTTTGAACTGAACAATAATGAATTTGTTAAGACCTGCATCAGATGCCTTAAATATGCAGAGTGATGGTGAGGACACACTGCTACAAAGCTTATTAAGCTGTTGCTGATCCAGCTAACACAATATAATAACTTTATGTACTCTGAATTTCACAATTTCATCATTATTACACTTCCATCACACACAAGTTTCACTATATTGCAGAAAACAATTATAGGATTTAGAGTTCTGCTCACTTTTCCCTTTAGACACTTCTTATGTTATCATTTATGTCCCACTATTAAACTGAATTCCAAACTAATATTATAACTCCAACCAAAACCTGATAGCAGCTGGTAAGGGAGCAACATTTTCTAACCTTATGTAACCACTTGATAATCTCTTAACAGGAATACCCTTCAAGAAAGCAAGTCATCATTTTACCATGTGTTAGCTGGTACATCAGGGGCACATGTCTCTTTTTCTGTTTTGCTTATGCTCTTTTGTTTTGATTTTTAGATTTGAAAAAGCAAGCCACAACAGACAAACAATACTTAGGTGGTTAGTTAGGGGTATTGAATATATGCTATCTAGTCGTACACTTCTGACAAGATTTTGTCCTGTTTCCAAGAGCAGTTTATATATTTTTAAAAGGGGAATTGATCAGCTCTATTGCTCCCCTTGTGAGTTTTAGGCATCAGGAGGAGGCTATGGTCAACAGTAAGTGTTATGTCATTATGTCTCCTTAAGAGTTCAGCATTGTAAAGGAAACTGTCCTCCCCTTAAATCATACATCTAAAATCATGTCAGCTTAAGACAACAAATATGGTTTCTTTATGGTTGTCATTATTTCAGTGCTTGCAACAGTCTTACCTTGAAGCTAAAGACATACATCAGCATTAATGATTATCAGAACTTAATTAACAATATCAAATAGAACACACAGTCTAAATACTTTGGAAAGGGTTATTTTAAATTCAATGTCTTTGCTCCCACCTAGTGGAGGAGTTATTTGTCCAAAAACCCTTAAGCACTTATCTGCACAGCCTGAATATGACGCAATGTTTTGTGCAGCTAATAACTTACTTGTCTGCTCAGTGTTCTTATGTCATCCATCTAAATGTCACATTTAACCAAATTATCTACCATATGATGGATTGTCCTCTCAGTGGTAATGTAAATCTTTGTGAAACTTTAGCTCAGTAGTTATGATACCGGTATGTTATGGATACGAGCAGAAAGGATAAAGCATGAGATAAGAGTAAGTGGTGTTAATGGTAGTTGGCTTTGGTGAATCTGCTGCGAAGGCACAGGGAACTCTAGTGGTAGGGCTGGACACACACAATGTGGTGTTTCTGGTTTTGCTGCCATCTAGTGACTGTTTGCATTTGGCATCACTTTGCGTAAGAATAATCAGGACATAAGTACTTAGAAACTTATCTGAAGACTACCATTGTAATTGCAAGATGAATTTTCAACCAGAGTGATCTTTTTTAATGCTGTTGCTCTCTATGTAAATAATTTAATTTTGATGATTTAGCTATTTGTGAACCATCTGTACTCATCAGAGCTATTCAGTGTGTTGCTCTAGCAGTTTTTAATGATTATGTTTCTGGGAAAAGTCTGCTTAGAATCATATTTATTTACAGGAGTGTGTATACAACTCTGCTTATAGATATACACACAGTGTAGTTACCTTTAATGCCATGATAGTGTATCTCTGACACAAGCTGAAGCCCTCTCACCCTCTCTTATTTCCATTCCTCTCTTGGCATTTAGGAGATCCACACTGACATTTACTGTGGGAGATCCACATGTATGTGACTAAGCTTTCTTTGCATTCTGTCACCGACTTTGACACCCTTTTCGGTATCCTAAGCATAATGTGCCTCTTATATTTCCATACTGATAATAATAGTGCATCTGGGAAAATCTTCCTCAGAAACTCTGAGTAAACGGGTAACATGAGATTTAATTAGTCATTCTTACTAAATTTATTGGAACAATCTCTCTAGATCTAAAGAATCTATTGAACCTAGTGTGATATTTGTATGTTTTTATCTTTTAGGCTTGATGAGATGTGTTGCATCATTATTTTTTAAAATAAATGCAAAAATGTTGTTTGTAGAATATGGATGAACATCAGAGCAAGTTCAATTTCTGCTGAAATGAACTGTTCTGAAATTAAATGTACCTCTCAGAATTGTGTTTATTTCATATTTCTCATCTCTTTAGGGGCTTAGATATAAAGTTATTTGTGGACTTTCACCATTCTGTTAATCATTCTTTCTAAAATACAGCATTTTAAAAAGTTCTTTTCATAGGTTACATTTTGGAACATTTTTACATGTGTCATCAATTCTGAGCTGATGAATACTTCCATAACTATGTACGAAACACAGTAAACCTGAATTTGTAAAATACCTGTTTTGATTCAAATGGTAAGATGTGAAAATGTGCTGGCTTTATATTTATTGTGCAAATACATTTTATGACACGTCAACTTTATGAAACATTTAAGAAAATAATATATTGAAATATTAAGGAAATTAGTCCTCACAAATCTTTGTCTAAATTGTGCTGGTTGTGAGCTGATGCACTGATTTATGAACATTGCTGTGTCTCTGCTCTTGTTGTGGACAGTTGAGCAGAGATTATATCTTACACCTCATGTCAGATATTTTTGTAATATTCTCTGTAGCTCTATAATGCCACCTACAGGTCTGATAAGAATGTGCTCTACTGCAGCAGTGGCTTAGGTTATTTTATTTTAGTTAAAAGAAAATTACAGGATATACTCATTAATTTGGCACTGTACCTTACCAAATTAACCAGATTAAGAAATAATCCTTGTGTGAATGAGGAATTCTGCTACATTTTAAAACGTTATAACATGTTGACTCATAGTAGTGTATGTGTGCGCGTGTTGGAAAAATAGTGTCTGCTGGGGATTTAATACTGGATACAAACAAAACCAAGAAGTCTGTCAAAGTGCACCCACCAGCTGCATTCACGTGCCAAGTGAAAACCTGAGAGGCAGGGGGGAAAAAAACGAAGTGACTTCTCAGACATTAGCACAGGGAGTTATGTTTCATAGCTGCCACACAAACTTAAGCCCATAAGTTTCCAAGGGAAAGTATTGCCAGATTCTGTTGGCAGGGGGATGTGTGAGTGGAGATGACAGAGGTTACTGGACAGTAGCCACACAGCACACGTCCCACTGTGCTCCCCAGGACATTGTGTTCTCTGTCAGAGTGGTGGCACTCCATTTTTAACAGCTGGCCTTGTCTCAGTGCCAGAAAAACAGCGTATTACGGGTCATGTTGGTCGCAAAATTAGTTCTGCCAACACACCAAGAGAAAAATAAAACATCTAAAGAGTAATATTTTTTATTAAGGTACTCAGTGTTATTAATCAGCTAGAAAAGTTGCAGAAAAACATCAAGAAAGGATTTGTGAGAGTTAATGGCATATCTTAAGTATTCAGATTTGGAGATTTGCTACTTCTGTGATAGTGGTGATGAATGGTGGGACAAAATGTGCAGATGTCACCTTTAGCTATGAGAAACTGAATTGTATTTATGGACCAAATAAAAAAACGTTATGTTTGGTGATAAATTATCAATATTGTTTGCTGCACCCATACATTTTCCTTCTAAAAGTGTAACTGATATAATTCATAGTCATCTCCTCTTTTGTGCATGTGTTGTCTCCAATTAAATTGACATTAAGAATGGGCTGTGGCTATGAAGGGAGCTTTGTGACCTTAGAAGTTCAAAGTTTTACTATTTAAAGAGCTATCCCCTGTGCTATATATCAATTTACCTTTGCATTTTTTCCACTCTTGAAGGCCTCAAGTTCAAACTGTAACATCAGGAAGGACATGTATGTAAACAAAAAGCCATTCCCTGAGATTCATGCTGGATTTCCAAGCATTTGAATGCACTTGACAGACTTCAAACATCTTGATAATTTTGCTGTCACATTAACTAAACAACTTAATATTGAGGTGGAGTAGATTTCTCAGCTGTTGCTTTGTGTGTACGGATACTGCTCTTGGCAGAGGAAGTTCGCGGGGACTTTGAGTAGTGGTCATGATGCTCTTATTTGGTTTGTCACAACATTCACAGTGAGGTCTATGAATTATAAACGTGATACATACTTTATGTCATAAGGTCTGTTTATATCCCCAATGCAGGCTTTGACAATCCCAGTGTACACCCTGCCAGAAAGCAATGGATGATTAACTGTGATAATGAAGCCACAGTCATGTATGCTTGTGTTTATCATTGCTACAATTTTGGCCTTTAATTAATTTTTTTTTACAACAAAGAGTTCCCCAATGTTTTTGTTCTTTTGAGGAAAAATCCTGTTTGTGTGCTTCATGTGGCACAGCCTGCTGCCTTGACTCTGAATGCCCCTAAAATTGCTACTACATGCTACAAATGACCTACGCCATCTATCATCGACTGGCATCCAAAGACAGGTGTGAGTCCGTCTCTCCCCAAAGTGATTGATGGCTGTTTTTTTCTCCCATCTGTTTCAGCCCTGTCATAGTAACTTGTTCTCTCTGCTGCAGTCGTGCTGTTCGATTGAGCCCAGAAAAGAGTGGAAAAACCCTAGGTGCATGAGGATTTCTATTGGTTTTGGACACAGCTCAATTATCATGCATACAGGAAAAAGATTATTGTGCAGTGTTGTGTGGTGACTTGTCTTTATATCTGAGCTGACATGAAGATTCTATTCTTTCCTTGACACCATTTCATTATTTATTGCATATATGGACCCAGAATTTGGCTTGAGTCACTGGATTGTGGCAAGTTATGCTTGGGCCACAGTGGCCCTGTTCATACTCTGTGCTCCTCTTGATGTTTGCTTGTGCGTAGCTGGATTCCTCCTCAGTTCCATCACCTTTGAAATAATGGAGGACACAGTATTAATTTAAGTCTGTGATGGCATTGTTGACAGGAAATAACAATATCTGTCTGCTTTTACTTTGTTAAGCTGACACCCACACCTGTTGTTGGGATAAATCTTATAGCGCCTATTTTGATATGTAAGGAACTTGGATTATAGTCATATTACACAAGCCCGGTTAAAGTCGATCCCTTACACTCTTATTGGGGAGGTTATCATTGTTTTTTGTCAGTGAGTAAGCATTGTTTAAGTGATTTGTGGCTTTTTTCAGTTTGAGGGTTAAACATTGTACTCTACTTATTCAGGAGCTATTGGCTTCTTCTAATTTTCCCTGACACCAGGAATGGTAATCGAAAAATAAAGAAGGGAATTTGCTTGGCAGGACTTCGCTCATTTACACCTGTACACACATACGTTACACATTTCCCTAAGTCATGACCACCTTTGCACTTCAAGCCCCTTCAATCTCACTGATTTTTCTTTAAAATTTGAGATCTCTATTGATATTTGTCTCTGAAATCTCTTTAATTCTAGTTGCCTGCGCAGTTCATTTGAAATTGTAGACTATGTTGCAAGTTGATTTTTGTGTCAGTTGTGCTGATCTATGAGCATTTCTTTACTTCTCTTACACACAGAATAAGAGCTGTATGGAGCGACTATTTTGACACATAGCAAGCAAAGGACTGAGGTAGGCTTAGCACTTAGCGGCTCTTAAATGTCTCAAAGCCCAAGCATTGCCAAACCCCCACCCCAAACACTTGAGCCCTGCTGACGTAGGCTGACCATTTACATTTAGGCACGCCGACTCACTCTGTTCTAGATACCATATCTACAGGAGAGGAGCAGAGAGTTGACTTTAAAACAATCAGAGCTCAGTTTAGTTGAGCTTTATTGTTTTGAGATTCATAGTCTCCATTTATTTGACGGATCATGAAATGATTTGTAGTTTTTGATCTAGATCCTTTTTCTGGATTTATTTTCTTTTGATTTTATTTGATTCTTCGTAGAGCTGGCTACTATTTCTGAGAACGTACTTTTGTCTGTTTCACGGACATTATTTGTACCATTTTTATATCAGGCTGGTGTAGAAACGTGATTTTTGTTAGGAAAAATCCCTGAAACCATGAGTTCCTTGGTTATAAATTCTTCAGGAGATGGCAGTAGTGCAGGCTTCGACCTCATTCAAAACCGCATCGAAAATCTGAGCAGCAAGATGGACAAGCTGATCCACATTCAAGAAAGGGTCCTCAATCGACTAGATGGAATGTCTCAAGACATTGACATCATTGAGCAGGATATGGAGAATTTGAAGGTTGACAAAGAGGAAATCCACCTTCCTCCCAGAGTAGTGAACCAAACTCAGGTGATGGGGCGAGAGGTGAGGGAGATCTGCCAGGAGATGAGCACCATAATGTCAGTGGTCAACCAGCGATCCGAGCAGCAGGCTCAGAAACTGGAGGGAATGGAAAAACTGGTCCTTAGCATGCAGCAGGTGATCAGCTTCATTGGGGAGACGGTGAAGAGTTCAAAAGTTATGGAGATGATGTTCAAAGGCCCTGCCGCTCGCAAGGGCTCCAAACACAAAGACAGCAAAGGAAAAAAAGCTATTAAGAAGAAATCATCCACAGAGGCTATAAATAGGAAGCTTGAAAAGGTGAGAAAATATTTTAAAAGTACTTACGTCTCTTTCCATTATTTCATGCTAATGTATGTTGGATCTTCTGTTCTTATGGATTATTGGCTTTACAGTAAAAACACTACAGTTTGAAGTGATTATTTTAACAGCTCGAATTGTGTGCCTTAATGCTCCACATATCTTTCAGAACATTTTGTCTTGTATTTATCAGTGTTGCACATAAAAACGTTGGTATCCGTGCTGAATCTGACTTCTAAGACTTTAGTGTCACCATCTTGTTCTTGGCAGAACATGGGAAAATGATCATAGCACCAAAGCGGAGGAACTGTTCTCTTGTACGTGAATGTGACTTGGCTTGTGTTTTTGTTTGCCATAGAATGAGGTCATGTGATAGCTACCGTCTGGGCTTAAACTTGCTTGCTCCTTTTTTAAACTCAGTATAAGTAAGAACATTAATTTTAAAAACGGTGGCTACTGCACAAAATATGAAACCCGATTACAGTCCGCATTTAACTCACGTTTATAGCTGTTGGACCTCTCGCTGTGCTGGGTGCAAAGTGGCCTCCTTGGCATGATGCTACTGTTGCATCTCTGGCAAAACACAAGAGGGCCACTGTGAGGCCAGAGGTGAAAAACGAGTGACCTACTTTGCTGTTTTTTGATCGACCACCACCTTCCAAACCCCCCTCTTTGCTTACCCTGTGTCAACAATTTATGATGAGTCAAATTCCCCTCTGTCTCTCATTTGCTTTCTGTTTCTCTCACGCACTCACATTTCCAAGATCTGTTGAACAGATTTGTGTAGTGTCAGATGGTACAAATAATTGTATTCCTCTTGTTTCAAATTGAACCCACAGAATAGGGTATTGTCTAAAGTCTGTGCCATGTGATCTTCTGCAAAATTACTGAACTATGTGCCGTGCAAAATAACTACGATTTTATGGGGAACTGTGTTGATAAAATTCACAATGTACATTCTATTTGACACTTCCAGTAGTTCTCTGTATGTTTCACATCATGTAAAGCAATATTTAGAGTCACTGAGCCACTATGCTGTCCACCAGTATGGTGGAAGCCAAACTCACTTTTTCTCAGTGCTTTAGGGCTGCAGGTTTGTAGATGGTGTATCCCGAATGAATACATATAATCAAAATATGAAAAAAGTAGTGTTTTCACCTCATACTCTGAAAGCACTGTCCAGGGTGTACCCTGCCTCTCACCCATTGAATGCTGGGATAGGCTCCAGTTCCTCTGCGACCCCATTTGGTGAAAGCTGTTCAGAAAATGGATGGATCGATACTCTGAAAGCCTTTTTCCATGACACCGTAGAAACTGTCAAATTCAACCTTCATCATCTGTCTTCATCATTAAATCATTAGGCAGATGGCAAGATTGCTCTATCAAAAGGTCGTCAAGTGCTTCCTGGCAGCAAAGGCATGAATTTCAGTTAGAGCGTCATCGCACATATCACTTGCTTAGTACAAACAGGGTTGTGTTGTCATATGTATAAAATATACTGTCACACTGTATTGAAACGGATTTGCCTCAAATAATTAATGTTTTGATTAAAATTCTACATGTAGATTTTTACTCCACTATTTGCTCCCATCCACCACTCTCCCTGACTCATGTTGCAGGGACTTTCTGTTGCCGTCAGAGGGCCAGGTGGTTGCTCCATCTTATCTCTACTTCCTGACGTGTGAGATATTTAACATGCAATTGTAACACGTCTGTGCCTCAGCCTCTATGCGAACACCCCAGTCTCTCAGTCAGCGGTGAACTACCGTCTCGGCGGAGACACGTGTACCTGATTCATTTCCTCCTCTGTTTACCTCACAACGGCATTCAGAAACAAACGTGCCACACCTCAGGTCTGAGAGAGGGTTTTTCCGTGCAACCCTGATCAGAGAGCGTTTAGCGTGTATCATCGACCTCAGGAGAGAAATATGAACAACCCTCTGTCGCATGTAGTATTTTCCATTCAGGGTCAGCATTGCATTCCGTTGCTGAGCGTGATAAGTGATAAGCTATAAATTCTCAGTCCTGCTGCCGTCTATCCATCAGGCGTGAATAAGCAAAGGCATGCCATTATGTAAGCCCGTCTGTGTGTGGTGACGTGCAAAAAATGTGCCCATATGTAAGCTGAGGTGTGGGGTTTGTGTGGTTCTTATAGCTTGCCCTTTCTATCACTATATCTGTCGTGTATCAAAATGCATATACATTGCTTAACTAAATCGCATTGTGATGGCTAAATGTGACCCTGGATCAAATATCAACATGTCTCGGTAATTTCTGGGACTCTTTCATTTAATTCTTTTCATCATATCTCCTGTATTTATTGTGATTTTAACATGATATTTTAAACATCTTGCTTTTATTGACAATGTCAGATAAAATATACGTCTTCCATGTGCATTCATATAACCCTACTAATCTCTTCCATCTTGTCTTTTCATTAGAAAGCTGCCTCTTATAAGGCCAGTAGAAGGAAACAAGAGATAGTACCTGCATGTGAGCCCAGTTGTCTGCATTCCAATCACAAGATAAAACTCCATGGACCAAAGCATTTCCTCGCCTCACGTAAATGTGGAAACTTTGTAGGTTTTTCTGTGCTTATAGTTTATATGTATACTAGAAGTTGTCTTTTGTATTTGAATATTTCTGTAGAAGTCCATGTGCTTTAGCATTTCAGGCTTCATATGCTGATTACTTAAGCTTAAAATGCTGGCTTCATATTATGTATTTTGTGTTCTGTTTTTTACGTTTCCATGAAACATCATGAAAGAAAGAAGGGGTGGGACAGGGGGTAATATTGTCACCTTTTAGTTCAGCTTGATGACAAGGAGTCAGGATTCTTCATTTTAAACTGAGAAGATCAAGCTGAGTAGAACATAGAGACTTAGAATTCAGCCAAACACTAGATGCATATTCTGTTCATAATACGGAATTTGTTTCTGTTTTAGTCTGTTACATTGTGACTGTTTTTTAATTCTATCTTACAGTTAAAGGACCACAAAGATGGGGCAGAAAAGCCCTGTTTGATCCACAGGAGTTTGAAAGCTCAAAAGAAGATGAAGCCTCCAGATTCAACAGGTGCTTTGGGCAACTAATATTGTGTCCTCTGAATTTAAGAGTCTGCTGCAGTCTAATTAACCTGGTACAAAAGAACAGCGAGAGCAGCTCGACGTTTATATTCTATGAAAAGGTTTAAAAACAAAAATGTTCTTTTTGATGCAACTATAACATTTTCTTCTATAAAAAGCAGTGTCAAAGTTGTATATTTGTTAATATAATTCTGTGTTCTGTGATGTTTCACAAAGATATTCAGTGTTTCTGACTTTTTGAAATGAAAATAGTTGTAGTGAAAGAATGAAATGACGAAATGCTGAACCTGAATTTTCTTTGAACTGTATATAGATGTGTCACTGAAGAAGCAGGCTCTGCTTCTTGAAGAGGTGCAGAAGCTCAACAAAGATAACGCTGAGAAATCAAGCTACCAGCTCACCCCTCTGGAGATGACTGTGCCCCCCAAAGACCAACAGCCTGATTCTGCTGCTTGCAACCTGGTGGAATACCTGCGTGAAGACTCCCAAGTGGCTTTGACAGAGAAACTCAAAGCTGCAGAGGCACTTAGTGAGGCAGAGGAAGTTGATGAGGAGCCTGAGGAAAAAGCAGCAGTTACAGAGAAAGAAACCAAGCCTGATGTGGAAGATGTAGAGCAGCAAAAAGAAGATGAAAAGCTCAAAGTCCAAGAGGAATCACAGCAAGAGGGAGTTTCTGCAGATGGAGTCTCAAAGGTCCCTGTTCCCCATGAAGATGAAAAGGAAGTGATTTCTACCAGGTATTTGATGTTTACATTTTTATTAGGGCAAGAGAGTTCAGGCAGTATGTGTGTTTTCAGTCTACAGAAAATATATCTTAAACTGGGTCATCTTTTGCATACCAAAGTTATTTCAGATGCAAAACTACACTTTCAATATGCAAAGTTTTGGATTTCAGTGATTATCTTCTTAACAGTCCAATCTGTGCTGTGACACAACTTAAATGACTACATTTCTTTTTATGTCTTATTGACAGACATGATAAGAATGAACAGATAATACATCAAACCAAAAGCAATTTAAACACTTACTTCTAGGTAGCCCAAAGCAAGTAACTCACACACACCAATTGAATGTAATTCACATGCTGTGACGAATAATATTTATTTACAAATTATGAAAGAAATGAATATCTAGTAAGTCATATTTCCTAAATAAGTCCCACCAACTTTGATCCACAGTGACAATGACAAAGATGCAAAACCAGAGACTGAAGAGCATCAGAGTTTTGTGACCCAGGAGAAATGTGTCCTGGAAGAAGACCCGACGAGCCAGGTGATTCAGGATGAGGAGGATAGGAAAGATGCCAGTGAGGAGGATGAGGAGAAGACTGAATCTGAGAGCTGGGCTATCTTCAAAGCGGATGGAGTGGAACTGCAGTTTAACCTCAAACAAAGAATGGAGAGAAAGGAAAACGATGAGGGGAATGATGATGAAAAAAGGCATTATGATGAGAATGCTGAGAAGTTCTTCATTGGTGAGTTAAAGCATCTGTGTTCATAAAGTAGACAATTCATGTCAGTTTTGATGCAATATCAGTAAATATATTAAAGGACATTTCTAAAATATATAAAATCCTTAGCACTGGTATACTGAACATATGGAGGCCTTTGCCACCATAGTAGCAGCACATTTATACTCAGCAACCACACATTTTAGGTAAATAATTTAAAGAATCTTCAAAAATAAATTCTTTATATCTGAAAGTTGCATTGCATTTTCAGTGGGTTACAAAGACTTTCATACACTGATATGAAAAAAAAAGAACAACATGCAACATGTAAGCTTAAAAAAAAATAATTTTTAAAACATGGAAAAATCTACTTTGTGGGGTATGGCATTAAGGAAAAAAGAAAATGTCTTTGTGAAACTCTTGAGGCTAACCTTAATCGATCTTTTATGATGGCTCAACATGTGTTCATAACTTGAATGGAAAGCACAGCACGACTGTATGAAGATGTTAGAAAAACTAGGTGTGTCAGGTAAAATATTTGTATATGAAATGAGAATAAAAATAAAAATGACCTCTGTCTGTTTGTATCGGTGCAACATAGGGTAGGGTGTATCAAGTTGTGGGTCTGCTTTGCTGGCTCCATTATAGCCAGCGTTGAATTACCAAAGACAGAAGGTAGATAAGCCTCTCTCAATTTCACGGGATTAGATTGTTGGCTAAAATGGCTGTTCTTATTATAGGTCAGCGGCTGGAAGTTTTTATCAGCTCAAAAGAGTGAAAATGAAAACAACTGGGATTTTAAACTAGACTGCAGGGAGTAATTGCCTAACCTTGATAAAAATCTTTTACAAAGAGCTGATATCCAACAGTTTTTTATAGGAATAAGCCCCTGAATAAAGATTGGATTTGATTTTGTCTTGTGTTTTGTGACCTTACAAATCTGTTTTCTTTAATATATATTTGAATATTAAATATTTTCCTGATTCAAAATATCTTTATCTGGAAATCTTTCTGAAAAGATCTTTTGCACTCTGGTCATGGGCTTTCTTGTTCATGCAGAAATGCATCCTGACTGAAGAACAGATATTTATTTGTTGATTTTGTAAGCGGAGTATGATGTTGTTAAGTTCAGTAAAACCCAAATGCTCCAGTGTGACACCTGTAGAGAAACGCTGTGCTTCATGTGTGTTGCAGTGCATTGGTGCCTAATGCGATAACCTGATTATAACAGCCTTGCACACTTTTAAAAGCCTCACAGTTGCTGATTATCATTGAATCCAGTATGTTCTCACATTCCCAATAACTTATCAAAACAGATCGTATCATCTCTGTTGTTTCCCCATCTTACTTTAGACACAACAGCTCCTGCAGTGGCTCCTTTCAATCACCGCATTGTGTCGGCCAAGCCCAACCAGATCAGGAACTTCTACACCATCAACTGGCAAGAGGTCCTGGGCGGGTGAGTGCTGCCCTTCTCTTTAAATATTCATGAAATGCAAGGCAAGTGAAAGCTGCTGATGATGAGTTGATAGATCAAAGACACGGAAAAAGAGATTTTCAGTTTCGCATTGAAAATGAATTGTGCATCCCCCTACCGCCCTTTCAATTTCTCTGGTCTGCGGTTCATAACTTTAGAGTCACAGCAGTTATTTTTACTTTGGGACTGACTGGAATGTGAAACTGTATCCTTCTTGCCAGCTGGTAGCTAATCATTAAGTGTTAATCCAAATCTTCAAAGAGAAGACGCAGGCCAGCTCAGATTTAAAAAAAATAACAGATTAAACACAACACTCTCCAGAAACATTCCCTTTTGAAGGAAGATCAGTTTTTGACTTGTCATGGAAAAACATATACTGCGGTGCTGTCCTCTTAATTCTGAGCTGTTTCCGCAGAGCTCGTATGTTAGGGAAGCGTACCGGGTTGGCGACAGTCATTGTGCAGCAACTGAAAACTGTTTCTTGTCTCCCTTCTCTTCTAGAGGTCGTTTTGGCCAGGTGCACAAATGTGTTGAGAATTCCTCAGGTCTCACTTTGGCAGCGAAAGTCATTAAAGCCAGGAGTCAGAAAGAAAAGGTACGACACTATAAGTACGTTTCTATGACATTAATGGGTCTATTCTAGTTATTTCCATGAAAACCAAGCCACACGGGATATTAAAAGCAGGGGCCCAGTAGCAGATTTTAGTACTTCCTAGAATGCTGCTAGGCTACTCTTGGAACAGAGGCAGGGGAAATGCTTCTCACCAAGGTGAGAAATAGTTGACCTAGAAGAGAAGATGCATAGTCTGTGATAGCAGAGAACAGCTGACACCTCTTATTCTATCCGTGTGTGCTTGCCTCTTTTGTATCTGTCCTGTGTGTCCTGCATCTGTGTTTTTGTCTACCTCTGTATCTGTTTGCGCCTGTGTTTTTGGTAGGAGGTGGTGAAGAATGAGATCCAGGTCATGAATAATTTGGACCATGCCAACCTGATCCAGCTCTATGCAGCTTATGAGTCAAGGAATGACATCATCCTTGTACTTGAATAGTATGATTCTTCTTTTGTATTCGCAGTGCATGTTTAGTCTTAAAAAGAAAAAAAAAACAGTTTGCTTAAATTATGCCCTGAAATTTTGTTAGAATTTGTCTTGACCAAGAGTGTATTTTTCTTTTTGAAAATTTCATGAGCTTTCACTTCCATATACTTAAATTCCAGCTGAGTGTGTAATGTCTTCTGTGTGTTTGTCTTTGTCATTAGTGTTGGTGGAGGGGAGCTGTTTGACAGGATTATTGATGAAAACTACACTTTAATGGAGCTGGACGCTGTGGTATTCATCAGGCAGATCTGCGACGGCCTGCAGCACATGCACAAAATGTCCATCCTGCATCTGGACTTAAAGGTAACACAGACAACATTCACAATGTTAGTCAGAATGTTGCCCCCACCCCACACACAGCATGGGTAGGGTATAAAGAAAGGAATGTTTATGTGAGAAAATACTCGTCATAAAGATATTTTTCTGGAACAAACAAACCACAAGAAAGGAAAATCAATCAATATATAATTTCAGTTTTAGTCTGTAACAAATACTAACTGAATCATGTAGAGTTGCATTTGCAAAGACCAAGATGAATCCCACAACTGACAGAAAGGCACAGAATGTGTGGTTGGAAAGTCTTCCTTGTGCAATATTTTAACCCTTTTAACACCGTACAGATAATATTTTCTAGTTTTTCAAATCTTCTAAATTCTAGTATATAAAACATTTCTTTTTTTTCATTTTATTTATAGTAGAAATGTGCAGAAAACATTGATTAAATTGGATGAAAAACACGTGTAAATTATGTATTTTATGCTTATTTAAAGAAAATAAGACTTAAGACAAAGAAAATATATAGTTTTTTAATCCACTTTTTCTTGAGTCAGGCTTTCTGGGGTTAAGGGCAGAGGAAACATAATATTTTACACTTTTTTAATCATTTAATTGGTGTAATCTTTTCGTTTGATACAAATTCATTCATATTAAGATTTCATTTCCTTTTATTTCAGAAGATTTTAAAGTTGTGTTTATGTATGTAAGAAAATCTACATGGTACCTTGTTAACACTTATTTTTTATTTTTTTACATTTGTATACGACATAATAGTTATAATAATTACATCTGTTTAACTTCTTCTATCGAGTTAAAACCATATTGTGTTGTTGTTGCTATATTTGCAGCCAGAAAACATTCTGTGTGTGAGCAGAGTCACCAACAAAGTTAAGATCATCGACTTTGGTCTTGCCAGGATGTAAGTGCTTTCCTTCTGTTTCATCAACTGTATTCATCTGGAAAATGTAAAATGTTAATGACATGAAATGCACTTATGTCACACTTTAGATATAAACCAAGGGAGAAATTGCGAGTGAACTTTGGTACTCCAGAGTTTCTTGCCCCGGAGGTCATCAATTACGACTTTGTGTCCTTTAACACAGACATGTGGAGTCTCGGCGTCATCACCTATATGCTGTAAGTCAACCCACAAACACACGCACGCTTTTGCACACTCTGAAATTAACGATCCTGGCCTTTGTCCTGTCAGTCTGAGTGGCCTATGTCCTTTTCTCGGGGATGATGACAATGAGACTCTTAACAACATCTTGGCCTGTAAGTGGAACTTACAGGAACAAGAGTTTGTTGATACATCGGAGGAGGCTAAAGACTTCATCCGGAGACTCCTCATTACAAATAAAAGGTAGTGGGTTGTTGTGCGTCCATACTGAGCTGATGTTACTGTTCAGCAAAGACAAAAAAATTAAAACAACTTTTGTTTCTTAGTTGGAGGATGGGAGCAAGTGAGGCATTAAGGCATCCATGGCTTTCTGACCCTGTGCTTCATCATCATCTTTATACAAAGGTAGAGTTCACAGTTGTTCACAATCTATTGATCATAGATTTTCTGATTTATGATACTGTGATGACAAAAAATGATTTGGTAAAATTTTTTAAAATGCTTCAGCTTACAGAGTATATGATTTAAATAAACTAAACATACTGTATGGTGTGCAGATGTTCTTAATTTCTTTCTTTATTTCTACATAGAAAACTATGTGCAGATCACGGCGATCATCATGTGTGCCCCCCACAGATAGCTAAGGTGGGTCCAGAGGTTTTCATTTTCATTAGTTAAATTACATTTGCCCATTTGAAAAGACATCAGTATATGATTCTAATAAAGTAACCAGAATAGTAAGGATATCGGATCATCCACAAGGGGGAAGCATGTCTCAAATTTTGCAGAGGAGATGTTACAGATATGGTTCTCTGTAACTGAACCATCTCGATGTTTCTTTTTAGAGCTCCATACTGATGTGACGGCTCCCGCTGTGGGCACTTGGACCAACCCCACTGTCATGTAAATCACCTGAATTCCACTGTGTGCACCTGTGACATGGACGGAAATTCTGGCAACCCCAAAAACCTTTTCCCGAGATGTGATCAACTGTGTTGTCTAATATACCCAAGAAAAACAGCCATAGTTTCTTAGACTTTAGAATTGAATACCTATATAACTATGTGTAATCCTGTACTTTTATGAAATGCCGCTCCTTTATAGGATGTTACCGTCAAGCTAGAAACAAAAAGAGAGGACAAAATAACAAGATTTGGTTTTAATTTCATTCAATCCTGCAAAAATGCTATGCAGTCTTTGCGAAGTCGATAATGTTGAGTTCATGTTAAAACATTTCACACAGGTTTGTAATTTCTATCAGGTGTTATTTGGTTATTCAAAAATGGTGCTATAAGTATCTGATAAAGTTTCAGCAGACCGCTTGTGTGTACCACGTTTGCTTTGAATGCGGACAGTGCATTTTTTTACTGTAACAAATATTTACTTCAACAAATCAATTTGTATCTCATACCAAAGACACTTTATTGTGTTGCTCTTTGTTTTTTTGCTTAGAAATATATATTTTTGCTGCTTATGTCTGATGTGCAATATTTCCTCTCCCCTAAGTTTTAAGTATTACTTTTGGGCTGTAAAAAACTATAAACTAAAACTATATACAGAAATGGTTGTTTAAAATAGTACAGGACTGACTACATAAAGATAATGGATGAGTATATAGAGTATGTGGATGGGAAATGGAAATGGAAATTATGTGGCTCGAGTCAAAAGAAGTTGTAATTGCACTTTATATTGTTATTTATTCAAACTGAAATAATACACCAACTTATTGTGGTGAGCAGATTTGTTTGACTGCTTCCCTTCATCTCGCCTGCATCTATTTATACAGAAAATACCTTTTAAGCATAAAAAAGCACTTCAGCAACACAGTTTATGTCTTATCAGCAAAGTGTGTTATTTAGTTTTTGTTGCTTGGCTCTGGTTCGTGTTTCATCAGCCACTAAAACTTAAACGTGACCACTAAGTTACAATTTTTCAAAACTGTGTGTGTGTGTTTTTTTTCTTTAAAAGTACACTGTATCATGCCACTCTGTCTCTCTGGTTACATATTTACACAAATGTAGATGCTTCTTCCATATAACAAAGTTATTCTCTTATTGCCTTCTATGAAGGTCCACCAAGTGAAAATAGCACCATATCTACCTACTGTTGCCCAAGTTGTTAGAGCTACATTTAAGTAGTGTAGTTTACCTTAATGAAGAATGTTATGTTCATAGTTTGAACACTGAGTGCTCATAAACAGGATTTGTCCTCACTGAGTGTTAGAAGATTCAGCATGTATTTGTGAAGTGTGACCACACCCATTAAATGGAAATAGTGTCTTAAAGAGTTTGATTCCTTTTGCTTTTTTTGACATTGTTGACATCACAACATTGCTTATCAGATTTTCAAATATAAAAATGACAAAAGATTACACTTTTAATTGAGTGGATTGCTAGTTTATCTGTCTCTTAAAGGTGAGGGTGTATAAGTAAGATGAAACCAGTTGAAATATCGTTGTGTCATTTTTCATGAGTAAGAACACATGTTCTTACTCAGGGTAAAATTAGAGCTGATTTCCTACATATAAAGAGAAAATAAAAATCTGAGAATGCCAATCCGAAACTGTCAACTGAGAAAATAAACAGACAGCGATGGTGATCATGTTGGGAAAATGGGCTCTAATATGCCACAAAAAAGGTGGACATAAGCTTTTTTTTAAAGTCCTCATGAAGACATGGAGGATGTTTGCAGTTCATGCTACATTCCCAGAAAATCCACCCTTAACTTCAAGCCTCCTCTATTCTTTAAAGGACTGTTTGGTCCTATTTTACAGAACCCACAAGGTTAGCTGGGGATAAGTGCAGACTGCACAGGGAGAACTATGATAAATGTGTATTTAATTCTACAGAACAACCGGAAAAGCAAACTGTCCAACCAAAATGCGTTGTAGACCCATTTTACATTCACATACTCTAAGACCGTTATTGCTGAAAATTGCAAGGGTTGAGAAAGTAATTCACTGTTTTTGTTTAACCATATATAGTAGCATTATAGTTTTGATCCACTTAGCCAAAGGCAGACATCAACATGAGAGACTGATGAGAGAAAAAAAGTGTTTTCTCAGAGAATGGACAAGGACATAGGTATGCAGATAAAAACGGACATCCGCTACTTTTAATTTAATTTCAAATTCTAGCAAAGAAGTGAAAAGTCTGGGATAGTCTTCCCTTTCCAAAACGAAACATACAACTTTTACATGAGTTCACACAATATGTTTAATTACAATTAAAGCAAAATTGCAATGCTTTAAGACAGCCAATTTCATCCATTTAAAAAAAAAGATCTATATACATTTTTTAAGTGGCCAACATTACAAATATTTTCTGAAAATATTGTCAATTTGACTGAATTGTCTTCACCCTTGACTTCAGTCCTACTTGAGTCCCCACATCTTGCTGATATTTTGTACTGCAGATTAAGTTAGATCAGAGTTGTCAGATGGAATACAGAAGTTCTATTATGTGTCGGCATAATGTGGATATAGGTGTCAGTGATTGAAAACAGGTTTTTTTTTACAGGTTGAATCAATTTGCCATAGAGAGAAAATATATAAAACATCAATGATATGATCCTGTGTTTTTCAACCCCTACAATTGTAATCCGCCCAAAAAATTCACATCCCTTAAAAAAACATAAATGTGTGTATTTTCCTGTTGGCTACTGGACATGTATTACCATCAGTATAATATTGTTAACCTTTGCAAGGCTTTTCCTGCTGTGGTGTAATGCTATCGCACATAAACATTTCTACAATTTATTATACCACTCTTCAGAAATGAATGAATTACTTTTTTTTTTCAAGAGACTCCCTACTTAGAACTGACGGAGTTGTTTAGTCTACTATTTATCTGTTTTCACACATCATTTCACTCGTTGGACACAAAAGGTTTCAATGCTCGATGTGGTTCAGAGAGAGTTCATACATTCTTGCATTACAAACAGGCAGAGAGAATCTGAGTCAGATAATGGTCATAACCCTGAACATGTGAATTGTTCGGCGAAACAGGTGATACTAATTTCTTCCTAGGATTTTTGCCTTTCTTAGTAGTTTTTTTTTTTTTTTCATCTGAAGCCTGAGGGTTGGGAGCCAACTTCAAGCTCTTGCTCTATCCTATGTCCAAGGCCTGGGTTGAAATGGTGAGAAATTCAATTTAAAAGGAGAAAAAAGGCTCCAAGAGCTGCCCCTCCACCACGCTGCCTCACCCCTAAGTCCCCTCCATCCACATCTCCAGGGGCGATTTCGAGGAGCCAAACCAAAACCAGATGGACTTATTGGACCTAAAGATAACAAATAGTGCTTGAGTTCCTGTCAGTTAAGAGACCACCAGAGCAAAGAAGCTGGGGGTGGAAAAAAAGCTCACTGAAATGCCTTAATCTCTGTCATACTGCAAGCAATATAATTATTATTGACAAGCCTCCGAATAGAATAAATTAGAAAAAAGAGAGAAACACAGTAGCTGTTACGATTGTTTAGATTTCTTGTGTTATAGCTTTGTTATGACGCTTAGCTTTACAAAACTGCTGCCATCATGACTTTGGGAAAATAAGCTGACAGCATTTACCCAGATCTCTAGGTGGCATGCTCCCTGGTTTGTTAGTTGATACATGTACCACCCACACATACTAAGAAAGAAAGGACAGAGGGAGACAAAAAGGCAAGGGTGACCCTAAAACTCCTCACAGCCTCCTTCCAGATCGGCTAAGAAAGTGTCCTTTGTAACAGGAGTTTCCTGGATGTAATTAAAAAATATTAGGTCCTGCTTAGAAGGGAGGGGACGAGGCTCAGGGTTGAGGGAAGCTATGTGAGGGCTAAGATTCCCTTCTCTGCTCCTCGTTTCATGAAAGAGCCCCTGGAGCTGGCCCTGACGTTTGTCCAAACAAGAGGTGCTCTCTCTCAAAGGAGGTCCAGAGAGGACCAGTTAGTTCTCAGGACCTGGTTGGCAGGTGGTTCTGATTTGTGCGAGGGGGAACAGGCCACATTTATGTTCAGTTAATAGCAGTACACGTGTCGTCACGTCCAGTGGTGGGAACACGCTGGGTGAGTGATTTGTTTTTTAACACCGAAGAACTCTGAAGCCAATAAGATGCCCAATTATCCCCTCCTCACTTTTCAGAAAATGGTCACACCTGAATAACACCGATATGGTTGTGCTGACATTAATGTTTCACTTAGAGAGTACAAATGAAAAGTTGGCTTTGTAAACAATAAAATGCACTCTTGCCAAATTTAATACACAGCTTTTTTTAAAAGTTAGTCTAGCATGACCCGTAACCTGTGCCAACTTCTCACAAAGTTTTCTGCTCTTACGTAATATTTTTGCGTTTACTTCACTTCATTTTCTGCACAAATTAGAT